CTTGCATGTACATGTATTAAACCGACACTAGGCTACAGTCGTGTACAGATCGTCAATAGAGCGAAGGTTTAATGTGCAAGATAGTTACCACACGAACGCCCTCTTAAGAGTTGTATATATCACTGTTGAGGCATCCGATGGTAAATAAAATAAATACTACTTCGTACGACTACTAACAAGGAATCACGCATACTGTACTTTATATTCTAGAACACAGACAGTATTAACTTAATCAGATCAGCCATCAAATCTGCCTCCAAAGCCGGCCGCGACCGTCCAACCGCTCGGGGGTCCATTTTATGGAACACCCTGCCATCCGACGTGCGTGGTATTACCCAGTACCACCAGTTCTAACAAGCCTGCCTCTAGGCATGGGCGGGTAATGCTAGCATTATGGCTGGCATTATAGTCCCTTTTTTCCAGGTGGCATAATGCTGGCATTATAACACCATTTCGCATGCAAAATTGGCATTACTAAAGTAACGCCAGTTACTCACACAGCAGCCCTCTGCTTTCTTCAACTTTATTAGCCTAACTCCGGCCACGTATTGTGAGAAATGTCACGTAAGTGTGTGTGAAAACACTGTATGATTGTGAGAAATGGCACGTAAGTGTGAAAAATAGATAGATCGAAGACACCTAAATTTGTCTTATAAGGACCAAAATTAATAGTGAGGGTAAGGCCTCACTTCAATTTGTCAAGAAAGCATCAGGCTGCTGTGTGGTAACCTACATTACAAGCACAATTGCCGGTCGACGACGGTGTCATGCATGAAGCTGGCTAGGTCCAGTTCCGAAAATCGTGCATCTGAGCCCGTCCGGCTTCGTGCAGAGACTTGACGTTGCAAATCAACCTTCTCAGTGGATTGTTTCAGACAACATGCTCACTGCTGTTTTTAAAGTTTTTCTTATTCTACGCTTTGGCCTTGATCCAAAACGGCCTTTTCCAACTTTCAAACTGGCATTATGGAGTAGTGTGAGCATTATAAGTGGCATTATATCCTCATATTATGAGCATTGCCTTTAGCATTATCGCAGCAAATAACTAGCATTACCCGCCCATGCCTACCTGCCTCCCGTTCTGTCTTGCTAGCAGTAGCACCCACTACTGAACACAACAGGAACCTTTGAACGTTTGCGGTACTCCACAGTACCAGTCATGTGCTGTTTACCGCCTCCCCGGTGTTGTATTCTAACGCTAACGTTATTCATTGACTGAGCGTTCTTTGCTTTGTGCTACACCCTGCTATCATGTTAGGCTATTTCCTACAATATTTTACTGTTTCCATTCGCTTCCATGTAATTGGGCGACACCGCCCGTTTGGTTCTGCGAATTCAAATAAAAATCTACCTACCTACCATTCTGCACAGCATGATCTCAGTTGATCTGCTATTGTGCTAATGATCTCTCTCCCATGTCGCAATGCCCTGCCGGAATGATCGAACCATTTCCGGACTATCATGTTCTTGACAACTGTACAATAGTACTTAAGTACATAGTATAACATTCAATGATGTCACTAATTAATTATCAGCAATTCTCATGCTATTTCAGCACGACTAGCGTTCCAGTGAAGTGCTGCTTCGCTTCGATGATAGATTAGCGTACACGAAGTACAATAATGTAATTACAGTCAACTTCGCTAATAACGACTACGGATATAACGACAATTCGCGAATAACGACATAATTTTCATGCCCAGAGCAAAGTCCCATCCAACTGTGACACATACAATGAGACTTCGGGTATAACGACACTTCGCGAATAAGGACACTTTTCTGATGCCCCGCCGAGTGTCGTTATAAGCGAAGTTGACTGTATGTGCACAAACAACGGAGGCGAAAGGCTGTGTAGCTGGGCATTTGTGCATTGAGCACTCTGCATCGAGCTGCCTCGACTGGCTTTGTGTGTGGGGGGGGGGGGGGGGGGGGGTGTACAAACGGAACTCAGAGGAATGCAAGCACAAGCGACAATGGGTGGCAAAACCCACGCCGCCGCCGCACTGCACAAGTCGAAACCAACACTACCAGTAGTCCACTGAAACGCACTACATGTATCACAAGCCAGTTCACAAAAGAGCCAGCCCGTACCAAACGCACTGACCTTCAGGGTGTGGAGCGGTACGGGTGAAGCACACGGCTTTCTACCTTGGCAATGTAGACCTTGGATGCGATGCTGCCACAATTGAACTGTTGGTGCAAAAAGAAAGATGTCGAAGTTTTTCACTGCTCAATCTCAGAACCACGGTACTTTGGTACAGCTTATGCCCACCTGGTTGTGGGAGAGAACTATGTGTAGACAAAGTCCATGGGCCTGGTTTCTGGCCTGACAAAATTAGTATCCGGAAATGGAGGTTCCACACTGACCAGGCTGAATCTGAACAATGAGTAAACCAACACCTCAACTAGGCTACCCTAACGCAACACCCTTCTATCCTTCAACGCCCCTAGCCTCCTTTCCCGTAGCCTGTATCAATGCACGTTCCCTTAGAAACAAATCTGCTGAGCCATCCGACCTTTTCACGACCAGCTGCCCCCTTATTGTTTGCATAACTGAAACCTGGCTATGCCCACAAATGTCCCTCTCCTTCCCAGGCTATGAATGTTTTCGAAGGGAATATTCTGCTTTGTGGTGACTTTAATGTTGATCTGGCCAGTCAATCTCCCACATCCCAGCATGCCTCCTTGCATGACATCACAACCAGCTTAGGCCTGCATCAACTTGTAAAATCTCCAACACGCATAACGCTGCAAGGGAGCTGCACTCTATTAGATCATGTCTATAGTACAGCTCAAGTCATATCCCCACCTGATGTGTGTCCAGTTCCGTTCAGCGACCACTGTGCTATTGCAACCAAGATTTGTGTTAAACCAGTGCCGACAGCATTGCCTTCTCAGCGACTTTATCGAAACTTCAAGAGAATGGACTTGGCATCACTTCGTATGGATATTTCTTCTCTCGGCCAACCTCTGTGAACTTCGTGGGTCCTGCGACGACATGTGGCAACAGTGGCTGACTAAGGTTGTGCCCATTCTTGATGCTCATGCTCCATTGCGCCACGCGTCTTCCCGACCAAGACAGCATTCACCATGGGTCAATGAACATTTGTTCCTGTTGATACGACGACGGAACCACGCTCATCGGAAATGGCTGCAATCTAAGTGCCAGACTGATTACGATGCGTTTAAAGAAGCCAGGCGTATCGTGACTCGTATGAACCGTGAATTGAAGACGAATTTTTCCAGTCCAAGTTCACCAGTGTTCAAGGTAATCCCAGGAAAACGTGGAAGGTTTTGAACGAGTTATCCGGAAGACAACGTGTTCAATCCGTTCCACAATGCTCTGCAAGCAACATTGGGTGTGTATTTGCTGATGTTGTCAGTGATCAACAACGAGCACCTGAACTGTGTCTTTCACAGGGCCCAGTGGGACCTAAGGGTTTTACATCCTTCAGTTCGGTGTCAATAGGTTGTGTGCGTAAACTGTTGGGTTCCTTGGACACCAGCAAAGCGACAGGCAGTGATGGAATACCCGCATTTCTTCTGGAGTCCTGCGCTGATTTGCTAGCTCCCTCCTTAACATTGATATTTAATGCATCTCTTGCTGTTGGTTCTGTGCCGGACGGCATGAAGTTGGCACATGTCACGCCGGTATTCAAGGCTGGAAATCCTCAAGATCCGGGAAATTATCGCCCTGTGTCTCTCCTGCCAATTGTGTCGAAGCTGTTAGAACGAATTGTCCATAGACAACTATCCTCATTTCTGGAACAAGGAGAATTTGTACCCTCCCTGTCAGTTTGGCTTTAGACGTCAACATTCAACGGAAGACGCTCTCGTTTTCGTCACGGACACGTTTGTTCGCGCTCGCGATGCCGGACAAATTACTGGTGCTGTGCTCGTGGATATGTCCAAAGCATTTGACAAGGTCAGGCACCAAGTGCTCATTAATGATTTGTTTGAGCTTGGCATATCTGGTTCAGCATTAGTTTGGTTTGCCGACTATTTGTCCAATCGTCGCCAAATAGTGCACATTGCTGAGAACTATAGCCCTCCTTTCCCCTGCATGTGTGGCGTTCCCCAGGGCTCTGTTCTTGGTCCGCTGCTTTTTGTACTCTATGTTCGTTCGATCCAGTCCATTGTCTCCGAGTTTTGTGTGAAAGTTATTCAATTTGCTGACGATATTCTATTGTATGTTTGCGGTACGCAGAAGAATGCGCTTAGTAACTCCCTGTCTGCAGCTGTCTCAGCCATTAGTACCTGGCTGTCAAATCGCAATTTAATTCTAAATGCCCGGAAGACACAAGTGCTCTTCCTGTCTACGCCACATATTACTGACCACCAATTTGCAGTCTACTGTCATGGAGTGCAGCTCAAGCAAGTGACATGTGCAAAGTACCTTCACGAGTCCATAACCCCCTCTTGGTACCTTGGAATACATTTGGACCAGGATCTTTCTTGGAGGACTCTAGTTGATTCTATGGTCACCAAACTTGCCAGTAAAATTGGTATTCTGTTCCGAAATCGACACAATATTCCGCTGACTTGCCGAGAAACCTTTGTAAAGTGCCTAGTGTTGCCAGAATTTCTATATGCATCAAATTGTTTTTCTGCTGGCCTTTCCTTAACCCAGTTAGGTAGGCTTGAACGAATGCTAAAGCGAGCTTTGCGTTCAGTGTACGATACTGGTTTTTGTAGCCCATCAAGCCCTTTATTTGCGAGACTTGGTCTAGATCGTTTGGCATCCATGTATTGCAAGAAATTACTGTATCTGACGTGGCGCTGTTTGGAAGGCCGCTGTAGTGTCACATTAAGTGGACTCCACTGTGCACTCTGCTACGATTTTGTAGAGCACGATCTGATTGGACTGCGTCCAGTAGCAAGAAACTCTGACTGAGTGGAGACATACAGATTGTTGTTTCAACTGGACCCTACGCCTAGTGACTTATGCCCATGAGTGGTATCCTGCACTTTTAAAAAAAGCACGGGATCGCGCTTCTCCATCAGCTTCACAATGAATTATTCTCTCCACATGGCAAAGCAGGAGTGACTTGGTCACATGATGTGTGCAGTGTTAATTAAAATTGGTACACCATAGCACTGTACATACAGGTCATTGCCATTGGCTGGTACAGTATTACTAGCAGGGAGTAGTAATTTTACTACTCCCTGATTACTAGTGACTTCAGTAAGCGATGGCAACACGGCCGACAGCTGAAGCGGGTAAAACAAAAATATCAAGGAAGCGCAATGATAACATCTGAGTAAAGTGTCATATAGGACAAAGATGAACGATATAGGGCTATGAACTTGAAACGGGCACAACGCGGTGGCGGACGAAGCAACATCCTCGCCAGCAGGGACGACCCGGTGACCGATATAAGTGAGAAGGCGGTACAGCAGTATACCAGGGAGTCGTAAAATACCGACTCCCTGCAGCACGGCCACTGGTTGGCATGCCTGGCAGCTCGGCTCAATATCTAGTATGTGCGCAAAATTAATCGTAAAACAAAACAATATACTATATTAAAGGAAAACATGCAGCAGTACACACGACTGAGTACGCTACAGCAGGGTAGCATAAAGGATAAGCATCTACAATGAACACACATACACATACAGGTCGGCTATAAACACCTGAAGACAGCACAGTGTACTACGGGACGATGGGGGGGGGGGGGGGAAGTATATCCACATAAGATTGTAGGAAAGTGAAAAACGAAGTACTGCATACGTACATAACGCTAGGGTTGCATTACTGCCATTAGCATGGCATCTTACAGGATAATTTCATTGCTGAGGCTGCCGGATAGCTCCTTGAAAGGCAACACGATGCAGTTCCTAACCGACACCTCGCCGGGCACATGCACACCCTGGCCCAGGATGGTGATGCTTGGGTTGAGGCGGCCGTCGCTGCCGAAGATCGACTGGACCTGGACGCGCGCGAACGGGTCGTTCGGGTTAGGGTCGTTCGGCGTGCCCTCGACGCGCGCCCACGCACCAATGCTGCCGTTCCAGCCGACGATGCTGTGCAGGATGCAGCTGTGCTGGCCCACCTCAGCGCGGTCCAGCACGATGGACTCGCGAATGCGAGCGCCGGCGCGCACCACCACGCCGGGCCCGATGTAGACGTTGGGGCCGATGGTGGCGGTGCGATCGACGCTGGCCGTCGGGTGGATGCGCACGTTGCCCACGATACACGGCTGCTCCGTGCCGCTGTCGCCGCTGCGCGTCAGCCGCTCCGGACTGTCCGCGGCGTACTTCTCGAAGAACAACCGACTGGCGTAGATTGCCGAGCCGGCGTTCTTGACCTGCGTCCAGAAGCGCTCCGTCTTGTAGACGAACAGCTTGCCCGAACCGGCCAGCGGCACCAGCACGTCCTGCTCCAGGCGTATCACGTCGCGCGTGCCCTGCGTCTCGATGCCCAGGTCCTCGTCGTCCCCGCTGCGCTCGTAGTTGCGCGAGAACACCTGGCCGATGTGCTGGAACACGTCGCTGGACACCACGTACGTGCCGCAGTTGATGATGTCGCTGACAAACGACTCCGGCTTCTCCACGTAGTGCATGACCTCGCCGGTCTGCTCGTTCTCCACGATGCAGCCGTAGTTCACCGCCTGCTTCCTATTGGCGCGCGTTCCCAGCACCGTGCACCCGTTGCCCGCCGAGTGGGACTTGTGGAATGCCAGCAGCTCCTGCAGTGGCAGGTCGCAGCACACGTCGGCGTTCAGTACGAATACAGCGTCGGGCGATCCGCTCATGATCTGATCTCGGAAGTGATACAGTCCCCCAGCTGTGCCCAGCGGAGTGTATTCCTGCAGGTATCTGACTTTTACCGACAACTCCGACTGCATGGAGCGAACGAAGCGATTCAGGGGCTCAGAGTTCTGGTAAAAGCCGATCAGCAGGATCTCTTTGAGGCCGTCGACCTTGACGCATGCTTCCATGTGATGCTGGATCATTGGAAGGCCAGCAATTGGGAACAGTGGCTTGGGAACTTCCAATGACAGAGGACGAAAACGAGTGCCCTTTTGGGGTCCTCCGATTAGAATCACGGCCTTCAGCATCATGGCGGTAGATCTAAATAAAATAAAATATTCCTTTGCTGTAAATTGTCACTGGTCTAATCCTATAGCGATTGCGGCTTATGTATTCTCCAGACAACAATGAAAACTACAATAGTCAAACAATCAAAATCCTATCTTCTCATCTGTGACAGCTTTTCTTGTTCACTCTCGTCAAAAAAATTTGCGTTTGCAGGTGACGTCGGCTACTACGACGTCATCACGTGCGCGTGTCCTCCTGCTCCATCATCCAGCCTCCACTCTCTAGAAGTAGAAGTTTCAAATCGAACGCGTCCAGAGAGAGGGCAGAACTACACTGTACTTCTTTCACCTGTCGGTACACCACTGTGCGAGTACGAGGAGATCGTGGAGTCGATTATTATTGAGTTTACATTTCTGCATGACTTGTACATTATGTAATATTACCTGATGATCGTAGTAATACGTGAAACTCAGAGTTGTAACAATACCTGTCCTATTGTACTACTCCCTGGTTGTAACAAAGCTTCCAAACTCTGTCTTGTACGAGAGAGCTTGGAAGCTCAGGGCCCTGCGCTATGCTTTTTTGCCTTGATGACCTAGACAAAAAAAGCATAGGGATGTTTTCTTAAAAAAATCCTTTTTTTAAAACCTTGGATTCGAACCCGCACTATCGCGCGCCCTGCATGCAGCCCCCGATACACTTCGCATACATACTAATTCTTCCAAGTTGTTTCACATTGTGATCTTGCATTTGAAAGCCCTATTTGAATATGCATTTTGGCCAGCCATCTTTGATGGCACGGTACGGTAGGGAATAGGTACGGGACAGGTACGATCGAGGGTAATACGACACCGTCTAGCTGCCCGCAATATTCAAATAGGGCTTTCAAACGCAAGATTAACGTGAAGCAACTTGGAAGAATGGGTATGAATGCGAAGTGTATGGGGGAATGCATGTAGGGCGATAGTGCGGGTTCGAATCCCAGGATATGCCTGAAAAAAAAAGGAGAATTGAAAAATTTATAACATCCTATGCTTTTTTGCCGTCAGATACGGATAGCGCCAGGCGTGACACAAACAAACAAACAAACAAACAAACACACAAACAAACAAATACCAAACGAGAGAGCTTGGAAGCTCAGGGCCCTGCGCTATGCTTTGTTGCCTAGCTCATCGTGCATGTTGGTAGAACTGATGGAAATGCTTTTTCCTTTGATTAGCTACATCATTGTATTGCAAAAACGTTTTAATGAGATACTGAAGTAACGTCTTCTGCATAGCTATGGAACCGGCGCTGACTCTGCCGATCACGGGCGTTCTGGAGTCGACGGGATGTCTGTCCTGACGTTTCCTGGGACCGGCGCTGACTCTGCCGATCACGGGCGTTCTTCTTCTTCTTATTATTATTATACTGACGGCAACTAACATCCATTCTGATTGTATTTACTCGTCTCCCTACTTCGTATTTCTTTCCATACAGCAGGGAGTCGTTTACATAATAATTATGACTCCCTGCTATACATCTACATGACTGTATATACGTTATAATTATTATGCTATCGGCCTACATGCGATTCCCGGGCTGGTCGACAGGCGGCCCAGCCAGCCTGCTAGTGGGATCTCGGCCTCGCACACAAATCCACACAAAATGTTACTGCACTGAATGCATTCCCCCGATACACTTCGCATATATACTCATTCTCTTGTTGGTACCGTACCCTTGATGGTACGGGACAGGTACGGGATAGCGCCAGGCATTTCGATGGCACAAACAAACAAAAATATCGGGGCCAGCTGTCTTTGCTAGTACGGTACAGTACGGGACAGATACGGATAGCGCCAGGCGTGACACAAACAAACAAACAAACAAACAAACAAACAAATAAACAAACAAACAAACAAACACCAAATTAAAGCTGTGTGGACCCTGGCTAGCGCCAGACGTTACTGAAGTAACGTCTTCTGCATAGCTACGGGAATAAAGCTGTGTGGACCCTGGCTAGCGCCAGACGTTACTGAAGTAACGTCTTCTGCATAGCTACGGGAATAAAATTAATATTACAGTGGTCCCTCTATAATCCGGCACCATTTGTGCCACGAAAATCTGCTGGATTAGGGAGGGTGCTGGATTAACAAATCTGATTTACTGCTGCAATGTGCATGAAGAGGACATTTGGCTACTGAAAATTGTGCTGGTTTATCGAGGGTGCTGGATTATAAAGTGCCGGATTAGAGAGGGACGACTGTATTCTTATTTTTATTTTACATTTATATAGGGTACCTCACTTCAAACTCTCCAACTACGGTCTCTTCGCTGCATATGTTCACTTCACTTCCAAAAAAAACAAATAATATTAGATATAAATTGATTTTATTCATCTTAATTTTACTAGGGCAGTCCCCACAGTACAGACCTACACGTGTATGCCATGTCTTCTTACAGGGTGCCCTAGCCACGTACATGTACATAATCCTTGTATCTCGTGCATTGTGCCCGAGAAGCCAAGGGCCGTAGCTACAATGTACTGTTAGGCATCGGCGGATAATGCTCGAAAAGGTCAGCATCAGTGCACTACAAAAACGCAACCATTTACTCCCACTGGCCGCTCGGTATCAGCTCAGACTTTTTGTTCTTATTTTTCGTTCACTAAATGATCTAGCAAGCCCCCTACTCTCTAGTTGTTTTTCGTTGCGCAGTGCATCGTCACACACAACTCCCGCACACGCTCTCAAGTTTCTAAAGCCCTTACTCTTCCCGCTGCTTTAAATCGGTGTGGTCTTTTTTCTCTTAGTTTTCTAGGCTCAGATCGTTGGAACTCTCTACCTGCTGACATTCGCCTTTGCACATCTGTTAAGTTCCGTTACCTTGTATTGGCACATTTAGGGTACCCTGTAAGAAGAAGGCCTTAGGCCTGTGGGGATTGCCCTATCAAAAATTTAATAATAATAATAATAAAATAAAATCCTGATGATGGTCATAAAGACCGAAACGTTGTAACGATACCAATAGATTTGTGTGAAATGCAGTGCTCTCTTGAGTGTAGGCAGGTTGCCTGCAAACGATTCAAGTATAATGAAGCTGCGTGAAGCGTCCTTCAAAATTTTGAATAAAATAAAAGGTGGCAGATTCTGCTCAAAAAGCAGTGAAATTGGCAGAACCATACAAACCTTATGGCGGGCAATTCCTCGAATTCTGCTCCATTTCGTTATCCACATACCAAACATGCATGGAACTTACCAGAAAAAAGTACCGAATTCTGCCAATTTTTCTGCGGGCATTATCCGCATATGCCTAGCTGCTGTGCAATAACATGCCCTTCTTATATTTCATGCAGAACTGTCAGTTGAGCCACGCGCGATGGAGTGCTAGCCATGCCCAAGCCCATCAGGTGCAACAAGTCCTGCACCTGATGAATTTCTCAGTCTAGCCTGTTCGTTCTTTATTATTTCATCACTTCATGGCACGTAACATGGCCAGTACATGTACTGTAGTACAAGGAAGTGAGGGGGATAAACCAACCACGGGTAGGGTCCAGCGGATAATGCCGGCATTATATTTGGCATTATACGACTATCCGAGCATTATGGAGCATAAGAAAGGAACAAAACGAGCATTATGTGAGGTTTGAGTGGCATAACGAGTTTCATAGTGGATAATATCGGGATAATCCCAGGTTTTTGGCAACAATCGGCTACAACCATGATCATGAGATGTTGTCTGATGATAAGTTTTTGCCATGAAACTCTGAGTAACAACGAAACAGCCCTATTTTACTCCTTTTGTGTACCTCTTGCGTACTACGCTCCGCCCATTCCGGGCATTCGAGCACTATGCATTGTACCGGCGCATGACTTTGTGATTGTGTAGACAGGTAACACCTTTAGCACTAACGCTACATAACTATTGCTACATAAAAACGTTATGATTGTAGCGATGTGGTCAGGTAAATGTATACAAGCCATTTGTGAAGCATGCCCAACCCAGGCCGAGGGAGTTCAAGTGACTCAAATCCGGAGAAATTATTTACGAGGTTTCTTTTACTTTTAGAATAATGGAGAGCTGTGGCCGAGACATACGCGAAGTGAATATCAAAGAGACGAAGAAGAGTTTTCTAGTTGTGCCAGAGGCTCTGGCGATAGCATCTCTAGCGATACTGAAGTAGACACTGATGCATTGCTAAATTTGGACCAGGATGAAAGAGCGGGTATAAACAGAAAGAGCTCGTTCCAAAAGAACTGCCTTTGCCGAGTCCAGCTCAGGAGGCTCGAAAAGAACTAGAATTTCTCATGGACTCAGTACCAAGTCGATTGCTCAGCAGAGCCTGTCTTACTTTCCCGATGAAGCACGTACAGTTAGTTGTGGACGGGTGTAATGCCAGGCCTACAGTCAAATGCTATCAGAAAGGAAGAGTATTGTGGCAAGCCATACGTCTACACACCATCTCAAGGAGAAGATGAGAGCACAAGCAAAGGATGTAGAGTGGCAAAATAACTTCTGAACACGTGTTTTAAGGATTTCCGCAAATAGGAGGGCTCTCCATCTGAGACCGGATCTCAGGAACTGGCCTCACGTCTGGTGTTTCAGATGAAGACATTATTGACAGAGTGGACCCAGTGACAGCTTGTCTGCAGGCGCCTAGGCGGGAATATTATTTGCCAAGATTAACTTCATCCCAACAATGAATGACTACCTGCAATAATGGTTTCATCTCTCACTACATGGATAATTAGGGGAGGGATTTGATACACCGACTATTCTGCCACAACCCTGCATCAAAGTTGGAATGGAGAGCAATCAATGGAGAAGCGACCATGTCTCATAGTGCTAAGAAGTAGTGGAGCTCGTCAGAGATAAGGTGGCAACTTCAGATGCAGATCGACGATATGCATAATTTCATGGAAGTTTGACAATATGCAGACTTTCTTTCATTTTTGTCCCAAACCAAGAGCATTATATCCCTTGCTGAAGCATTATAATCAGCATTATAAGGCAATTTTTGGAGCATTATGATTAGCATTATACGAACATTTTCAGAGCATTATCCGCTGGACCCTAACCACGGGGTTCTTCGCGCTGTCTCCGTTGCCCGACCACAATCATAACTAAAACTAAGGACATGTCGACACGACGACAGAACATAGTCACCAGGGAGTCGTATAAAGTTACTATAAACGACTCCCTGTCTATTATTATTAATTCAACATCTCCTGGCTCGTCAGAAGACTGCCAAAATATATGAGAAGTCGGGTGGTAGCCAACCACGGCGAACTGAATAATAAGGAGAGAAACAAAGAGAGTACTGCAAGGGGAGGCATGACGAAAATGGTGAGATTATTTAGGACGAAGAAGCTGAAGCTTGAACTCCTTAATGTCTGTGCATGCTTTAAGGCTAGTTGGCAGGGAAGACCAGAGAGTGTACTCAGAGATTTCAGAAACAGCGAGGTATTGGCACGGGGTAATGAGAAGGAATGACGTGTTGATCTGGTGGACACAAAGCAGTTATACTTAGCAAAGTGTTTGGGATCCAGGTCTAATAAGATCATGTGTACAAGGATGCAAAGATGTTGCTGGTGTCGCTCTAAGAGGGGAGATACTGAAGCTAAACTGTAGAGACGTTGAGAGGAGAATGTTTGATCTTTGCGAAACAGGATTTTTAGAAGCAGACGCTGGTGTATTTCCAGAGTTTGAATAAGGGCCTGACACAGACCGCACCACGCTGCGTCACAGTAATCAAATATAGGTAGAATATACGACGTAAAGAACAGTTTTCGGCAATGGTCATTCAAATGGTGGCAGTGAGGTTGCAACATGCCAAGGGAGGAGCTAGCTCGCTTGCATACTGACTGGACCTGTGGGGACCAGGACATATGGCTGTCGAATATAACACCAAGGTGTTTGTGTTCATGAACAATGTTAACGTTAGCATTGGCTCCTGGAAAGTGCAACGGCTGAGTGGGCGGCGATGGGCTGATGAACATTGCTTCGGTCTTCGCGATGTTGGGCCTCAGCTTCCAAGCTTCCATCCATGCTATGGTGGAGTTAATGCCGGTCTGCATGGAGGTAACGAGGTTGGTCTATGGTCATGTACATGGTATGCATGTGCACTAAAAATCGTGCCCGATGTGGATATGATTTTCCGAAACACACACACACACACACATGAAACACGGGTAGACTTTATCTATTACAGGTGGAATCCTGATAATTCGAACCTCGAAATGCCAGGAAAAGACTTCTAATTAGCCGGGCATTCTAATTATCCAAACATGAACCCACAACACAATAATTATGTACATGAGGCCAAACTAAAGAAGGTGTGTGGTTCGACTAACATGGACATTTTTTTTACGGGCGGGCGGGCGGATTTTTTTTTTAAATATATTTTTTAGTACATGTAAATACACTGTATACGCGTATCGAGTAGACTCTACTACCAGCACAAGGCAGCAGTCGTACCACTCACTGCACTGCACTGCAGTACAACTACAAGTCAAGTCCAAAAGGAGCCGCCTGCGTCCGCAGACTCACGCCGCACAGCACGTAGACGTGGACGTGTTCAGTCCACGTACGTCAGTCACACGGCAGCCCGCCGAAAAAAAGTTACGGTCGGGCTGAAATTGTACGGTCGGTCGGGTGAGTCGAACCACACACCTTCTTTAGTTTGGCCTGATGATGTATATCAAAATGCTCTCATGGTCACGCAGAGTTGCGCTATGGACCTTAGACACAGAGTTCACGGATACTGAACTGACCGGCACAGCCTGCTCATACAAACTGAACTTACCAGAACAGTGTACAGTGAACTTCGAATTACACTTTGCAAACTTCGAATTATCAGCACAAATCCCACACATTTTCTATGTAAGTAGAATCCGTGTAACTTCGAATTAACCGGACATGTCTGGTTCGAGGTTCGAATTGTCAGAAAAATTTATGTGGGAATCGTATTGACAGAAATCGGTCCTGGAAAAACTTCTATAAATTAAGCGGGATGTTCGAATTAAGCCATATTCGAATTATCAGGATTCCACCTGTACTACGGATTGTCGGTGCAGTTTTAGTCCTCTTCAGTACATGCCCATGATGACGGCGAGCCTGGCTTCGTTGGTGGTAGAGCTGCAATACCGTGTTGCTGCCTAAACTAAAGCCAGTAAAGGGTAGAAAAGCTCCATCTCCGATGTCAAAGACTGACGTGCTGAGAGGCGGAGAGACAGGTGACAGTTTTGACTTCAACACTGGACAACAGTTCCCAGGCAGAAGGCGTCGACGCCAACCCTTCAGTCCACCATCGGGTTTATAGTCATGTACTCACTACTGGCTCTAAATGTAATAGTACTAATACTAATACACATGCTCGTGTTCGCTCGTGGCAGCAACGCCAATGCTGACACTGTGACAGGGGAGTAGACCCTCTCTGGCTGTCCCATTGCCAATGCCACGCTGCACCCAGGCCAGGACCCACGGTCACAGAAACTGGGCAGAATGGGCGCATTGATTCGGAGGATCTAGGAAGGTGTTCCCTTTTTCAAAGTTCACCCTGCTCTCAATGATACCAGAAATTTGCGTCGTGTCGGCAAAACTCTTCAGTCCCACTGGATAAGAAATCGTAACTATTGGGTGATCACAGCATTAGCAGAGACGCCACACGTCGAAGTCGTGCTGATCCGTGATTCGGAGCTTTGTGGCCATGAGTTGGAACATTTAGCGGCCGAAGCAATAGCCGCCAGTTTACAAGTGAATGAAAGTGTCCCGAATTCGTGCAAATGTTCTACAAAACAACAAACAAGACACCAGCCTAGCTGCAAGGACAGTAGTAGCCTCTACCGTGTCGTGACCAGGTGACCACCCCACATCACCAGTACGTTTGTGGAGATCATTGCGGACCTGGCCGTCATTGTGACAGGGGGTTGCACCGAGACAACGGCGTAGCTGCGCCATGGCTCTTGGTACGGGTGCGATCATCGGCTTGACGGTCGGCGTGGTGCTGGCTCTCGGCGTCGTTCTACTGGTGGGCTTTCTGGTGTGTCGGATGGTCTACCGGCACGAGCATGGCATGGAGAAGGCTCGGGCGCGGCGACGTAGCAGCGCGGACAGCCGCGGACAGCCACGGTTACGTTCCGACACAAGTGGCGCGTCCATAGCATCGGGCAACACGGACTTTTTCGTCAACAAACAGGTGCGAGTTCCGCTCTCTCTCAGTTGAACAGTCACTGCATACACCTGTACAATCATAGTCACTGTACGTGAACCTGTGCAGTAGGTATTTCGAGACCGCGAAAACTGCATGCAGCTGCCCAAGCTAATGGCAATGTCAATCTGAGTCAAGACTCAATAATTACATTGGGGAGTTAAGGCAAAAATAAAAATCTCACCAGTTGTAGTCTTCGGGGTGCTGAGTCGAATGGTCGTGGTCCGAGGAAGCTGAGACGCTCCCTTCCTACTTTAATCCCAATCGAACTCGCGCACTTCCACCGAAACTGGGTGACTGCGCCCTACTAGATGGGGATTTGTATGCAAAATGTCACTAAAAGCGCCATTTCGTTCTTATAAATGCATGGATGACCGCGATTGGCCCATATGTTGTAGTCTTTTGGATGCTGAGTCGACTGGTTTTGGTCCGAAAAGGCTGCGATGCAGCGTTCCTCCTTTATTCCCAATCGAACATGGTTGAGCAAGCGGTCGCGTCCTCCTGCGTACACCAGTCACCTGGTCACCGGGCCTGCAGGGTACAACTTACTAGCCTGTTTGACCTTTTTTGGGTGCAGTCCTTGAACTCGTTGAACTCGAGTTGAACCTTGGTGTGAAAGTTGTCGCCTGCTGGCGTGGTGACCAGGTGATTTGGGCACCCAGGAGCACGTGACCGCTTGTTCAACCATGTTCGATTGGGAATAAAGGAGGAACGCTGCATCGCAGCCTTTTCGGACCAAAACCAGTCGACTCAGCGTCCAAAAGACTACAACATATGGGCCAATGGCGGTCATCCGTGCTTTTATAAGAACAAAATGGCGCTTTTAGTGACATTTTGCATACAAATCCCCATCTAATGTTAGTAGGGCGCAGTCACCCAGTTTCGGTGGAAGTGCGCGAGTTCGATTGGGATTCAAGTAGGAAGGGAGCGTCTCAGCTTTCTCGGACCAAGACCACTCGACTCAGCACCCCGAAGACTACAACTGGTGAAATTTTAATTTTTGCCTTAACTTCCCCTTTAAAGAACTTTGGAATGAGTTGAACGAATAAAGAGTGGCTTCACATCTCTGTCATGTGACTACAATTTTGTGTAGAAAGTGATCATGGCATGTGGACAGTGGAACCGACATGGCTGACATCATATCTGTCCAGTATGGTCATGTGATAGAGTGATAGAGTAGTGATAGAGAAACCACTCTATAGAGGTTACTAGTATGCCAATGAAAGCATCCCACACAAAAATCCTACAGTAGAACCTCCCTTATCCAGGAGCTTCGGGACCGAAGCCTTCGGGTGCTCCTATCTCGGAACCTTCCGTAGAAGAAGAAGAATTCAAGGTTAGCGTGAGACTCGGCTGGAGACCGAATGTTCCGCATCCGCTGGGATGCCACCACCCTCAAAGATCAAGGCACAGATGCAACTCCTAAAGCGGTGGGAGGTGAGTAGATCAAACCCCCCACCAAAGTGGTCAAAGACCGACAACCCCATTCGCTGCATCCATGCTTCCTGTGTGCCTTCCGTAACTCACCGTGAAATACACTACAACCAAAATGAGTGGATATGATACATCATTCTCTTCGGCTGGGTTCACCGGGCCCAGATTGACACCATTCACAAGCATAAATATAAAGAGTCTAGTCCAGCTTTCAATGCGGTGAAGTAATTCAGATAGCCGCCACGGAGACAAAGCCATTTTCAAGGTTCAAAGTTGAGTGCACTCATGAATGAGTCCTGATGCATGTGCCTGCAGGGTGCCCTCCAACACTATACTATAGATGCACACCCTAGCTCATATCGATACTATAATTCCTAGTTTACTTTGTGCTGATGTACAGGAGTTCAACGACATGCTAGCCAATCTTGAAGACTCGTGGCGAGCGAGCAAAGGACCAGTCGACTACGGTGCGGAGTCAGGACGTGTGATGAACGGCACGGCCATTTACAGCAATCCTGCGTTTGACTCGGACCGCGGGAAGTCGTTCGATGCTGCCGTCGCCATCCAAAGCTGGTATCGAGGCATTCGGTATGATGCAATGATGATACGTATCCACCTTTCCTCTGTTCTATTGCATATACGGTCAGCCTTACGAGTAGTGACCCTCGATCGTGAATGCCGGGAAAAGTGTCGTCATTCACGAGTTGTTATTGGTGAGGTTGAAAGTACGCAGTCGAATAGCTACTAGGTCTGAAGATGATGTCATTTTTTACGAGTTGTTGTTATGCCCGATGTCGTTATTCATGAGGTTGACTGCGGTTATAATACTGGAAATCCTCCTATAGCCCCCCCCCTCCCCCCCCCCTCCCCCCCCTCCCCCCCTCCCCCCCCCCCCCCCCCCACACACACACCTTCCCATGACTAAGCATTGGCCCTTGGGGAAATTGTTTAAAACACCTGAATGCTAAGATGTGATCGTCATCTCAGCAGCGACCGCAGCATCTCCATCATACTTTGAAATTCACGCTTCCTGTGGCACTACACAGGCTGGACTGGTGCATGCAGCCCTTGCCGTATACCCACACCTCATGCACAAACTAGCACGCATGGAGCTCCAATGCATCCAATATTCACAAGTCTGTGGGATTGGAAGGGAAAAAGTCTGAAGAAAATGGAATACCACCACCAAGACTCGAGCCAGGGGCCTTCGCTACAGGCCAGCGATACTCTAACCACTATAATACTATTGTGCGGAGCATGAAGTCGATGCAAACTGGTACGTTTGATCTAATCCCAGCCCCCCCCCCCCTCTCTAGTGACGGAGGAAAATATCCTATACACTGCCGAGTTTGTGCAAGCATGTGACTGCTTCAGAATACCATTAGGTTTTTTTAGTGTCATACTTCATGTGGGATCTATTGACACTATGGCACTTACTTTTGCCTTTCCACCTCTCCACCGTGCCACTTTTGTACACAGAACACGACAAGAAATGGCAGGTCGCAAGAGGACACGCATAGATGGCAGAAGAGGATCCGTGGCCAGCACACACTTAGTCCGTGAGTTAGATTCCGAAGCTATGGATGCTGTCTTGCGCTGCAGCCTAGCACTTACCACCCCCATGTTGTTGTTTTGTTTTAAGTCGCAGAATCATACTGGAGCAGCAAACCCAACTACATGAGAGCGAATGTGTATAGTACGTGTACATAAACATCATAGAAAGCTTCAAGCAGGGTTATAACTATAAGAGAAGGAGGTGAAGCTCAGAATTTAGGATTGGTAGACATCCCTGTTCTCTCCATAAGTTACGGAAATCTGCCTGACACGGAGCAAAGTGTTAATGTAACTGTGTGCACTGGGCTTAGACGAGTATAGCCATGCTTCCGCCGTTACTTCTATCGCAACATTTAATATCATGTCTCCGTGAAATTCCATGGTGTCTTCGTCTGCTCTCTTGGCTTAACCGTACTAAATATCCAGCCTGTAGCCCAGGTACTTCCTAGTATTTTCCCATGTCTAATTAATCGACGGCATTCCCTGGGTGTTTCGTTTTGACTTGCTGTGCAGAAATGGACATGTTCAGAGTCAAGGTAAGTTTCTCACCGGTCCAAGATTAGCAAAGCAGCAGATTACATTCGCTCCAGGCCGCGTATAACCCTGTTTCTTTCTCATTTGTTACGTAATGTTAGTGCAAGTACATGAAGAAAGCCGTAATCTGCTGTCATGGAAGCCTAGTCAATGTGTAATTTCAAATCTCCACAAGTACCCCCATCCAGCTTGATGATTTGATCTGGATAGATAGGCATTGGGCACGCATGCTGAAGTTCCTAGTTGAGCACCAGCGACATCACTATTATGTCACCAATCTTGGCATCCGATGGAGAGGCAAGGAAACACTGGTGGTGTAAGTGGACATTATAGCGTAATTTTTAGTTCCTTGGTCCTTTTTCTTTGGTATAAATTAATTATTGGCATCATGCGAAGTTACGTAGCTTTAATACAAGCGACATCCACAGAACCTGCTGGGAGAGTATGCGTGTACTCGAGTCTCATCCTGAGCACGTTTTTTCTTCTCTTTTTTCAGCTCCAGCATTGCCGTATTTTACTATTTTTCATTGCAAAGCCGTCCTCCGTTGTCGTGTTCCGACTTTGGTGAACATCATGTCTCTTGTTTCCGGTCTCACAGACGTTTGGCCTCACCCCGACTGGCGGTCATGGAAACACGGGAACTGAGTCGCTGCTGAAGTGCCTCGAGACCATGCATAAGGTACTGCTTGTATTGCATTCCTGATGCCGTTGTTGTAGTAACACTGTATCTGCCAGCACAAGTGGTCATTATTTAGTCGGTGATGGTTATGATGATGTGCAATTTTTTTGTATTTGGATTGTATTTTATTATTTTACTTGGGCATTCCCAACAGACCCTAAGGTCTTCTTACAGGGTGCAATGAGTCCAGATCCACTGCACTTGTGGGGTCGTAATTCATTTGTCACCGCTTGATTGTACATTTTAAGAGTAGAGCCCACACGCTCTCTTCCATTAACACTGAAATAATTCAACTCATTTTACAATATTGCGTTTCGGTAAAATTGCCTTCATCAGGTTAACTGTTTACGAAACTTCAGGAAGCCTCCCCACTTTTACTTGATTGTACATGTATGCACTAATTGACTTAGTGGGTGACCTCCTGATCTCTCTTGATTTCGTTGAGCAGAAGCATTCAAAGACGAAAATCGAAGCTCCGTCCCGGTACCTGCGTGTGTGGGTGACAGTGAAGGGACTGAAAGTCATGTCTCACGAAGCTTGGGTAAGAGAATTATCGATGCACGAGTTGTAGAATTGGTTCATTCTATGCCGGTGTGCCCACATAAGACCCCAATAAGGTTAATATTATGTTATACTTCGAAGTAGTTTGACCCCCCCCCCCCAACCCCTCCCACTCTCCTTCAGGGCTCCATTTTCCCCCATCCCCTTCCTAGTTCCCCCCCCCCCCCCCCACCATTCCCCTCAGCTCTCCCCATTCCCCCTCCCCATCATTCTCCTCTCCTCCCTAATTCCATGCCTCTCCTCCCCTTCCCTGTCATGGTACAGGCCTACTTGTACATGTGCACTCCTCAATCTTCAAATGGTACTCACAAATGAACTTGTTATGCAGGTATTCAAGTGCATTTAGCAAGTTCATCAGAAACAAACATTTGGTAAGAATCTCCCTTACAAAATCCACTCAATGCTGTCATTCAGCCGCAAACTTGAATACTTTGAATGACAAACCAGAGACAATGAATTTGAATGAATATATGCAGTTGTAGCAGGATGAGAAAATACTGTCCGTAGAATAAGGAACTGGGCGCGAAATGTAAGATTTTTGTAAGCGAAATGTATTACTACTGTGTGCCCTGGCCTCCTGCAGGTGATTCGTCACAATATCGCTCTGAAAGACATCTTCTCCTACACACTATCACCGCAGAGTGAGCGCGTGTTTGGAATGATCTTTCGCCGGAAAGGGATAAACTACTGCTTTGCCGTCCTGTGCAATGATACGGAGGTGAGGACTACTAGTACACATGTAGTCTACCGCAATGATTACTGATGATTGTTCTGTCCTTGTTACGTATGACATCACGATTGTTATGGATGACATCATAATTGTTATGGATGACATCATGATTGTTATGGATGACATCATGATTCCTTATTGCACATACAAGAGCATTCTCTAGCTCTTGTGACTGGGTTGCTCTGAACCTCGACCCTCCTTATTAGGGAGGTTTCGCTCTACGGAATTACGTATGAAAATAACGTATGAACTGCACGGAATTTTCATACGTAAAAATCAGAGCTGTTGGGTTTCGCTCTACGTGATTTCTCCACAACTGCTAAACATGCGTTGTTGCTTTGGAGACGGGTTGGCTCCAGGCGCCCACCGCATGCACCGTGAACCGAAACCGCGTTTTCCATTATATTTTGCATGTGGTGTACGGTGTGTGTACCTTGTGTTTCGCGCGGCTTGAATGTTGCCATGGACAAATGCGGAAAATGCGAAAAAATATTTCAAAAAGTCCTACGGAGGACCCAACGTAGGAAAGAGCTTTCCTACGGAAATCCGTAGAGAGATCTACGTATGAAAGTTGCCCTCGCTCCCCGGCGCGTACGACATACGGATTTTCATACGTAATTACGTAGAGCGAAACCTCCCTATTCTACTATCTGAACGTCTACCCGTGTGCACGGAAGGTATGCTGTGTTTGTGATTGCGGCACGTAACGATTGTGCTGTGCGTACCAAGTAAGACCTATGATACTAGGACATAATGATGGTGATAAAGACCGTCTCCAAGCATCCCAACTACCTGTATAACTGTGTCCATGTTGCATCTAGGCAAACCCTAAACTCCAGTATTGAACAAACTGAACGGTGTGCACATATTCAGTGTGAGCCAAACTGAGCCCGATATGTCCTCCAAGAACACACAATCTTGCTGGTAGCATGATTGGTTCAACAGTCCACCAGCATGCCAATGATTCCAGGTTGATTTGCCTGACATGCATTGTATTCTGTGCTGCATCTTCTCCCCTGCTGCTGCTGCCTCCATGCAGGCCAGTTCTATCAAGCAATGCCTGGACGATGCATATCAACTGACGGCAGTTCGCCGCCCGATATCGCCGTCGAGAAGCTACGTCGGTGACTTTCTGCAGACCATACCCACCTCTCCCAGTTTCACATCGGTAATAACTATTATCAAGAGGTTCTGACCTCGACTTAATCCGTGTTCTTGGTTTGGGCCAACAATTGAAATATTATTCTCAGTTTCTTGCCTAAAACAATCATTAGACGGCTCTTTGTAATGAAAAGTTCTATAAAATCTGGACTTTAAGCCGGTGTACTTTATATCCAAAGTAAATGATGATTATCGTAGTAATACGTGGAACTCAGAGTTGCGACACAGCTTCCAATCTCTCTTGTATCCAAAGTAAAATGACTGGTACAGCATATGGCAGGGTCCTCGGAAAATAGTACTACGTATTATTGATATAATGTACCTTGTAATGGGCAGCCAGAAAGCAAGAAAGCCTTGATTCTGCAGTACAGCAGGAAAGCAGAGGTCGCATTATCTTGCCACATCTCTGTCGGTATCGACATGAGCAAGGATACAATGCTCACTCTTCTCATGATGCCACGCAATTTGCCACCGATACCTCCATTGCTGTGGAATCACATATCTTCCCCGTACAATTACTTGCAGAGTACTGTCAAAATTGAAGGAATTTGCAACAGCTTGCAGAGCACTAGTACTGCTATTCCATGTCCTTGGTCTACTTCAAGCCTAGGTGTTGTCCTCGCTGGCTCTGCACTCACAACACACTCATCGTTATCCTGGGCTGCTTGGTACGAATTTAATGGGCGAGTACTCCCATTTGTGCCATCTTTAAAAGTTGTGCATGCATACCACTGTTGCTGTGTTCAGGAGCAAGGTGACCTTCTTTCCAACCTGGGATCAAGGCGACCCAGCTCATCGTTCACGCCGCATATTCCCGGCATTGAAAGCAGCCTCCCGGTGCATTTCCTTCACTCCGGCGACAGTGAGATGGCCGCTATCACTATACAGCGTTGGTACAAGGCTTATCGGTAAGCACCATGCCCTCGCGTTCTCCTTGTGCAGTGAAAAATCAGCATACTGCACATCGAATGGCCCAAACAGCCAGTCTGTTGTTCGTTGTGCACTGTGTATACAGGCGCGTGCCCCGTATGGGTTCCTGGGTGCCCGGAACCCCCCGCCTTTTTCGCTCAAAATGCAGGATTTTGCTTCATTTTTTTGAAAATTTTCCCGCGGGAGGCCCCCCGCAACCCCCCCCCCCCCCTGAAGGGCACTGGCACATGCGCCTGGTATACATGCACGTACTGCAAACCCGGAAGCCTTTGCGATCCGGATTCCTTCACGGCTTTCGCGATGGGTGTGAAGTTGCAAAAGTAAGCTGGCGCGAAACGCAGAACTGTGGTAAAGAAACTGAGGAAGTTGACGCAAATCGCAAACATCTCCAGAGGTGCGAGTTTGTCTGTGATCGCAAATCGCGAACTAAAACCGGCGCAAACGTTTCCCGGTCTACTGTGTAGGGCTGGATACCGACCGGCATTCTAAGTTATCTGTGCTTGGTTATGTTCCCGGGCTGTCCTCAAGATGGCAACACTGGGTGCTGCTAATGCAGACACAATGTGCACGCACACGTTCTGTTCTAAGTTGCGGCTCCACATCTAACTGTTAAATTTGTCTGTTTATTGCTGTGAATCACGGCAGAATCCGGATGGCGTACAGGCGTAACCAGCTGTGCACGCCACGCAGACGGTCGCAATCCATTGAACTGCTTCCATGTAAGAGAGATTCACACATATACGAATGCAGTGCTTTAACGTGTACATCCGTTATGCCAGGGTAGCAAAACTGGCAGGCCGGTAGGAGAGACCATTGATTTCAGTGCATGAGTTCAGGGCAGGATGCAAGCAATGGAGAGTGAAACCTGTCCAAGACAACTGATCGAGGGGCCTTCAAAACGTGGTCTCCGTTACCAGGTGGTCTCCGTTACCAGGTTCTCTCCTTATCCAGGGTCATTTGACTGGAAATAACACCCCGCTTTGGTCCTGGTTGCAGTGGTCTTCTGGGACATGTGATCACCTTGTCTGAGTGGTCGCCTTGACAGGTTTTACCGTATGCATAGTGAAGGCAGTGCGTCATGCACTGGCCCATGACTACGCTTCCATACTCTTGGCGATGAACTCTCGGTGGAAGTGGCAGTTAAAGATTGTTCTGATCCGTTGTCCTCTTTTTTTCTCTCCACTGTTTCTATTGGTACGGCAATGGCTGCAGCTCTTCTTCTTCATCGCGCCACAGTAAGTTGGACAGCTAGTACTCATAACTATCACTCAATAAGACCTGTTTTTTGTCTTCAGTACAAGTACTAGGAGGCTCCACCGCAATTAATCAATCATCTCTTTAACACCTTCACAGCTGCTGTCTGTCACTGCAACTGCAATAATTGCAGATGTAGATTGCAAAGTATGATGATTACATCATTACTTGGTTTTTTTAATGTCAAGTCACATCACAGCACGGGCTTGCCACACAAAGCGAAGAAGCATGATGATTATTTCTAGGCCTAATTATTTCATCGTCTTGGGGGTGTTTCATGTGAAGTGACATCAGGAGCATTGATTTGCTACTCAATACGAAACATGGACAGTGATGTTATTCACATCATTTCTCTTTTTTATTTCCGTTATAATCTGCGCAGTTCTGCGCCTCATCACCTGTGACCAGAGAAGCGGAAACTGACAGAGAAACGCTGCACAACATCGTCATGAACCAGATGCCTATGGTGAGTGACGATGGCTCAGAGAGCGCTCCAGTGGCGCGCACGCACGCGTGTGTGTGTGTAAATGATGTTTTTAAGGAGAAGAGTATGACATAGGTTAAAGCCCCCCCCCATCCTCGCTTCCCTCCCAATCCCCAAACAATGCATAATATATGTCATACAATGTCTTTGATGTAAACACTACTATGAGCTGCAACTCTTTCCCCTTCCTGGCCCCCATCCTCCACCTCCATCTCTCTCTCTCCACCCCCCCCCCCCTTCCCTTCTCTATTTCATATCAATTACAGGCCGAATCATTAATGTCACACTTAGGTTCATATCGGTACTAAAATGCAGGCTCGGGGCATAGACTTCCCAGTGGATTCCACTCATTCCGGGGCAATTTTGCAGAAAGTACCGCTCATGCGCCGCTCAGATCTGCATTATTCCACCCGGGACATGCCATCCAGGAATACTTGTTGAATCCTCGACCATGTGTTCTGTATGTTCTGTCAACACCCTATGCAGATTGAACACGCGCCAACGCAGAGATTGAACGTCGGCGTGTCTTGCAAAGGCCTGTCGGTACTGACGGCCACGTACACCGTAAGTCTACAGTCCATTCATCGGAAACTGCCCCGCTGGCTTTTGAAAGTCGGATTTGGGCCGAATTGAGGATCAAAAACCCACTTTAAATCTCAAAATTCTGGGTTTTGGATCTGCTTCTCCATACATTTTGCAATGGCATACCTGTCCTAATTTTGTAAAACCTGGCTGAGTTTCTATTTCCTGTTCTTGGACTTTTCTGGCCTCATTCAAATGTGGCAAGGAGTAATTGCACGGGTCGCACAATGCAGGATGTACTGTTGTTTTCACGATATCTACAACTATGTGAGAGAGAGACACCAAAAGGTTAGGGTGCCAGTTTCCAATGAATGGACTGTAGTACTACGGTAAAACCCGTGACTAACAACCACCCCTTGGGGCCAGAGAAAGCGGTCTTTAGTGGCAGGTGGTCCTTCGTTAGAGGTTTGCACCGCACGACCATATTATATGAATATGAGACCGTCCGTGCCTGGCGTAGTAGTCTGTAGTACCAGGTTGGTCTAGCCCCGGTCGCGGTGGTCTTTAGTTACAGGTTGGTCTAGCCCCGGTCGCGGTGGTCTTTAGTTACAGGTTGGTCTAGCCCGGTCACGGTGGTCTTTAGTTACAGGTTGGTCTAGCCCGGTCACGGTGGTCTTTAGTTACAGGTTGGTCTAGCCCGGTCACGGTGGTCTTTAGTCCCAGGTTGGTCTAGCCCCGGTCACGGTGGTCTTTAGTTACAGGTTGGTCTAGCCCGGTCACGGTGGTCTTTAGTTACAGGTTGGTCTAGCCCCGGTCACGGTGGTCTTTAGTTACAGGTTGGTCTAGCCCGGTCACGGTGGTCTTTAGTTACAGGTTGGTCTAGCCCGATCGCGGTGGTCTTTAGTTACAGGTTGGTCTAGCCCGGTCACGGTGGTCTTTAGTTACAGGTTGGTCTAGCCCGGTCGCGGTGGTCTTTAGTTACAGGTTTCACTGGATATTGTCCAGGACAACGTCACCGCCGTCGCGGAATCTCTTTGCTCGGTGCACGATTGATCAGGCGTTTGTAAAGACACTGTGATGCTGTCACGGAACAAATGGGGTTAGCGGCGTAGTGGACAAATAGTCTGAGGGTAGGGGCAGGAGCTGTTAGGGACATCTCGCATGAAGTTGAACTACTGTAAAGAGAGACATTTTCGCTAGAGATTATATTTCGCTATTTTCGCGACCATCACACATTCGCGAATATAAATCGTCGCACACTGCTCTGTACATTGACTGTGACAGTACAAGATCCAAATGAAGAGTTAAAATCGCGAAAGTTTCTCTTCGTGAACGAGCACAATTCTCGAAAACGCGAACTTTGCGCACCGCAAAAATTTATCGCTTTACAGCAGCCATAAAAAGATGGCGAGGCACTTACCTCCTCGTGTGCAAAATATTGCCAGTGAACTGTGAACTATAAACAGTGAACTATTGAATGGCTCTGTCAATAGCTGGCTGATAGATCACTGATTCCCGGCTGAACTTGCTCTGAAGATTCACACTGTGGAACTCATGCCGCACACACCAGAATAAGACCGGAGATTTGTGGAGCACAGAGTGTTACTGCATACAAACCCATTCGGATTGCACGTACTGCAGAACGGGTAATTTTGGCGACGTAAAAACCCGAGCGAATTTAGCGATCGACTCATTTTCGCTAAAGTTTCAAGTCGCTAATCCGTTGAGACATTAGTAGTGCACTGGTGATCCGTGAGTAAAATCGCTAAAATAAAACGTCGCCAACCGGTTGACAATGGGAAAACGCTAACATTAATACTGTTAACGAGGAGAAATCTGACGTTAAAATAGAAATCGTTATACAGAAATCGATACATATACTGTCCTATTGAGCGCTGGGAATGAGTGAGAATCGTTACCTTTGTTTGGTACACGTAAACTAGTCAATTTTGGTAAATCGTTATATATGCGCCTCGTTAGAATAATGGCTTTTACAGTAGTCGCTCAAATTACCCGTTCTCCAGTACTGTAAAAGCAGAAATTTTCGGTGGTGTAATATTTTCGGTATTCTCCAAAATCGGCGGTTCGGCGGAGGGAAATTTTCGGTAAACCCGCGTTCCAGGTAAGTGTACTAGTACTATACCGGCATTTTCGGTGCGTTTTATTTTCGGTAAAAATTTCGGCACCAAAGTTACCGAAAATAAAACACCACCGAAAATTTCTGCTTTTACAGTACTCTGCTAAGAAGTGCATACTATGTACACCATAGCACACCCACACACACATGCACATACACACACACGTGCACACACACACACACACAGTGACACATACACACACACACACGTGCACACACACACACACACACACACACACACTCACACATTATAATACACTATGAAACTGCATGAAGCGTCCAACCTATACTTATAGTCTTGAACTATTGCATGCAGTACTTCACACAGGACAGTCCTGCTGCCTATGAGGGTACACAGGCATCTCTTATCAGAGGTCTACTGCAGTAATATAAAGCAGCATTGTACATTTTGCAGGCAGTGAATGCATGCCGGAGCAGTACGCCGGATAGGTGTAGCCGGCCTGTACTAACAGGGCCCAGCAGCCTGCAAGATGGGAGCAGTTTCCACTTGGTCCTCGGTTACTGTGGATTAGTGACAGCACCGACAAGGTTACAACCACTGGCAACAGCATCACTATTCTTTCTGTAGTGATTGTAGATCAGTGCACTGAAATAGCAGTCTGCTCATGCAGTTGTGTTACGGCTACAGTAGAGTCGCGCGCTGAAGAACGTGGAGCCCAAGAACGTCCAGCCTGGAATTCTAAGAACGCCACAGCCTAAAGCTAAGAACCGTGGTATTGGTGTCTGGCAGCTTGTGGGAAACAACGTTCTTGGGCGCACGACTCTACTGTATGCCACTACTGAGTTAGCTAAGGCTGGCACCTTTGATTTCCGGCAGGGTTTCTCAGTGGAGAAACGGTCCAGGCGTCCGGCTATACATTGAGCCCCTGTGTCAATCTGACACCCATGCATGTGCAATGTGCACTGACGTGTGCACTATCGGGACGGTCACGCTGTTTGATGTGCGTATTGCCACTGCCGTTTCTGTGCTGCCTTCTCGATACATACATATGTACACTGTATATCATGAGTGTGCACATTCCCATGTCTGAAGGTTTGTGGTTTTTCAATAAATAAAAAATAAAAATAAATTGCCATTGCGTGTCAGTGTCTGGAGGTTCGCTTTGGTTGGTTGATCGACATGATCATACTTCGATGATAGACTGCCATAATTATGTTCTGTGTTACCGTGGCAGTAGAGGCGTGGATTTCCAACTTGTATTTTGTATTTCTAATGTACTACAAAATCTCAAAGCACAGCTTTGGTGAGGACACGGGCCAATATGAAAAGAATGGGTGTAAGCCAAGCACAGCCGACAGGCCCGAACGGAATAGGGATAATAATGAAGACATAGGATAGGCAGGCCAGACAGTTTACGAAGGCTGTTTCTCGCCGAAATTGTGAAAAAATCCTGGGAGACCCCCCCCCCCCCCCCCCCCCCCCCCCGTTATCCAGTGTCTGCTCCAGCGCCGGGTGAGCCGGGTAATCCACCTGGTTGGGCGGCGCTTGGACCCGGTTGAAAATATAGTACCGGGTCACCCGTGACCCGGTTGGTACTTTACACTTTCGAACTTTGGAAGGACTGACTACATGGCTTGTATGTGTCAGATACTTCTTCTTTCGTAATTTTCTAATTCCTGTCCTCTCTTTTCTAAATGCGGCTTATCCATTCGCCTCTATATCATTGGGCCTAGTTCCCGTTTATTGTCCGAATTAAAGGGGAAGTGCATCGATTTTTCAAGTAGGGCTCAGATGAAAGACAATTGGATATCGGTTCCGATGGTATATCTCTCGCTTGCGTACGGCAAGGGAAACTTGCCATATCGCCGATTTCCTGATCCCGTTTCCATGGCGACTACAGGTGATGACGCACATTCTGCTTAGCTCCGTGAGAGAGAAGGTCGATCACTGCTGAATTGTGTCATTTTCAGTTGTCTTCTTGTATTCACGAAGTGAAAGAAGTACTGTGTTCAATGCTGTTAGTGCCGTGAACTGTTTATTAGTAGTCCTCTCCGTTGTGTACTGGGACGTGACACCGACAGGGGAAAGCTGGAGTGCGGAGACGTTAGCTGGCAAGCGAAAATCGTGACGAACCAAGTGCTGAAATCTTGGTTGGGACAAATCAAACGTTCAGCATTTACCTCAACCAAGGACCATGCCGTTTGCTCTTTCCACTTCCTGAAGATGGATGCGCTGCCTGCTGGAGACTCTCCTATCTCTCGTAACATCTTCTGAAGCCAGGTGAGACGACGAGTAGTGGAGATTAGCGAACGAAATAATGTCGTATGTTTTGAAATTTTTGCTGAACATTTCTCAGGAGAGATGGCGAATACCAAGCATCTTCTCCTAGTCTAGAGAAACCATTTCGTAGGCTACATTCCGCCTAGGGAAATGGCTGGGGAGGACACACTTGGAGGAGAACGAAGTAAGTGATCTTGTTTATGTTGTTCTTTGGTATTGCAATCTTATGTTTGACGAACATACGGCATGGTGCATAGTTGGTCGTTGAGTGCCTGCATGTGCATGTATAAGTGTGTGCTGATAAACACTTCCTATGCAAGAATCTGACACTCATGCTCTCTTTCTTTCTTGCAGTATGTGCGCACGTGTGTGTGTGTGTGTGTGTGTGTGTGTGTGTGTGTGTGTGTGTGTGTGTGTGTGTGAGAGAGAGAGAGAGAGAGAGAGAGAGAGAGAGAGAGAGAGAGAGAGAGAGAGAGAGAGAGAGGGAGAGAGTGTGTGCAGGAGCAGCGTGGAGCATGCCAGTGTGATCGCTGTGGCCGTTGCTTTCTTAGCTGTGGCGTTCTTGCCCGTCACAAGTGTGTGGCTCAGCCCCCAACGACAGTGGAGCCGTGTTGTGGTGAATACTGTGTGTCCCGCGACCGCTGCTTCCGTTCGGTCCAGGGCAGGAATAGACACCGCTGCTGAAGCTCTCCCCGGCCGTACGTCAGTCTCGTGGCAGATGACCCGAACTCTCATTTTGTGTGTGTGTGTGTGTGTGTGTGTGTGGTGTATGTATATGTATGTGTGTTGCTCCCTACGTAGCCGGACACACTCTTGTTTTTGTGTCCCGGACGCCATGGGGCGGCGTTCTCCCATTCTCTCTCCACTGCCCCTCCGGGCCCACGTGGCTGTGACTCGACAGGGCAGGGCAAGTGTGTGTATGGTGCATGGTGTGTGCTGGCATGTCTGTATAAATATGTTGGACAGGAATTCGTTCACCCACAACGTTGACGGAAAACCATGCTAGGCGTTGCTGGAATGTATGGAGTCTGCGAGCACTTACAATAACTTACGTCATGTCACAACAAAGAACGGTGCAGTGTTTGACCCTCATGTAAACATGATGGTGATGGTACCTCACCTAAACTACCCATGAAGCTAGAAAGAACATCAGGTCAACAGAATTGTACCAGAGGAAAGCATCTATTGCCCGAACTTCTTCATATGAAATGAACAATGCCCTTCTCCATAGAGACAACATGCAGATGAAGTGTATGGAAAAATAATATATAAATAGGCCATTCACTGAGGGCATGGAATGATCTCTACGTGTAGATTGGATAGACACATGCACGTCTGCAAGGAAAGCATTTATTCATGGGTTAGTTTATGGGCTGATTGAGTTCACATGTACTAAGTTCATATAATGCCATCTCTCCTGAGCAGCAAAAATTTCAAAACATACGACATTACTTGATTTCGTACGCTAGTCTCCGCTACTCGTCGTCTCACCTGGCTTCAGAAGATGTTACGAGAGATAGGAGAGTCTCCAGCAGGCAGCGCATCCATCTTCAGGAAGTGGAAAGAGCAAACGGCATGGTCCTTGGTTGAGGTAAATGCTGAACGTTTGATTTGTCCCAACCAAGATTTCAGCACTTGGTTCGTCACGATTTTCGCTTGCCAGCTAACGTCTCCGCACTCCAGCTTTCCCCTGTCGGTGTCACGTCCCAGTACACAACGGAGAGGACTACTAATAAACAGTTCACGGCACTAACAGCATTGGACACAGTACTTCTTTCACTTCGTGAATACAAGAAGACAACTGAAAATGACACAATTCAGCAGTGATCGACCTTCTCTCTCACGGAGCTAAGCAGAATGTGCGTCATCACCTGTAGTCGCCATGGAAACGGGATCAGGAAATCGGCGATATGGCAAGTTTCCCTTGCCGTACGCAAGCGAGAGATATACCATCGGAACCGATATCCAATTGTCTTTCATCTGAGCCCTACTTGAAAAATCGATGCACTTCCCCTTTAAAGGGGAAGTATACCCTAAAATCAAATTTTCACCAGTTGTAGTCTTCTGGGTGCTGAGTCGAATGGTCTTGGTCCGAGGAAGCTGCGACGCTCCCTTCCTACTTGAATCCCAATCGAACTCGCGCACTTCCACCGAAACTGGGTGACTGCGCCCTACGAGATGGGGATTTGTATGCAAAATGTCACTAAAAGCGCCATTTCGTTCTTATAAAAGCACGGATCACCGCGATTGGCCCATATGTTGTAGTCTTTTGGACGCTGAGTCGACTGGTTTTGGTCCGAAAAGGCTGCGATGCAGCGTTCCTCCTTTATTCCCAATCGAACATGGTTGAACAAGCGGTCACGTGCTCCTGCGTACACCAGTCAGCTGGTCACCGTGCCTGCAGGGTACAACTTACTAGCCTGTTTGACCTTTTTTGGGTACAGTCCTGTCACTCGAGTTGAACCCGAGTTGAACCTTGGTGTGAAAGTTGTCGCCTGCTGGCGCGGTGACCAGGTGATTTGGGCACCCAGGAGCACGTGACCGCTTGTTCAACCATGTTCGATTGGGAATAAAGGAGGAACGCTGCATCGCAGTCTTTTCGGACCAAAACCAGTCGACTCGGCGTCCAAAAGACTACAACATATGGGCCAATCGCGGTCATCCGTGCTTTTATAAGAACGAAATGGCGCTTTTAGTGACATTTTGCATACAAATCCCCATCTCGTAGGGCGCAGTCACCCAGTTTCGGTGGAAGTGCGCGAGTTCGATTGGGATTCAAGTAGGAAGGGAGCGTCGCAGCTTCCTCGGACCAAGACCATTCGACTCAGCACCCAGAAGACTACAACTGGTGAAAATTTGATTTTAGGGTATACTTCCCCTTTAAAATAAACCAACCAACCAGTTAACGACCCGGTTGAAATGGTTGCGCCAGGTACACGTGTACCCGGCTGTCCTACAATCCTAGAGCAGACACTGCTTATCCACCCCACCGCACCACCTAATTACTTCACTCACCTTCGGGCGGGCCTGACCTTGGCCAGTTGGTGCAGGCAGGCCAGAGACAGAGTTTCACTTTGGGCTGATCGGGAAGCTGTCTTGTGACTGTGACCATAAGCACGGGTCCAGGACACATCGAATAGCTATTACAGTCATGTACTTTTCTAGATTGAGGGGGGGGGGGGTGAATGCAGAAGCCGTTGAACAGCCTCGAACCAACACTCCATTGCAGGTCCAACAAGACGAAAATATGAATTATTTTCTCCAAGAGAAGTAGAAGTGGGGTTTGAACTATAATAAACACTGTCTCCAAAAAAAGCAAAATCTCCAGACGAGAACTTCGAGTCCAAACTCCAAACGGTTATCTTTTCGGGTCTACTGATCGCTTGTTTATGCTACGACTCCCTGGACCCTACATGTACCGGTACAATAATACTAGCTGGTGTAGATCTACCCTATAGCACTGCTAGAGGGTCCACTCCTACAAGGCTACATGTCCACTGGCACTGGCTTTTGAAGTAACTCTGAGGATCCGATGCGATCTACCAAGGCAAGAGTGTTCACGTGCACTTTACTCAGTATTGGATCTACTGAACTGGAGTGTTAGCACCATAATCCAAACGAAAGTGCCGCAGCAGCTCAGCTGCAGATCATCCTCGGCCTCCATTGCTCTAACCAACCACGGACATAACTATCTTCTTTGGAACGAAAAAAAAACTGCGTGCGCCCTCGTATCTCCCTCCATGCAGCTCTCCGATCCTGAGTCTTGTGTTGTTCATCCTGCTCTCCCGATCTCCGATCTACTGCACATGCATGAGTAGATGTACAGTGCAGAGTGCACGGACTTTTGAACGGCCAAGTGTCAGGTTCAAAGGGCACGCGAAGTTCTGGAATCTGGTTGTTGCGAACACTCAAGTGGGCAGTGGGCCATGTTGTGTTCCGGGCGCGGCGTTCGCGCGCGATATACGGCTGAATTATTTGTATCAGCTCGAGTCATCAACTGAAGCAGTCAAGGGGGCCTGAAGAGGAATGGTCTTCTGGCACTCAGTTTGAGGCCTCGGGACACGCTTCTCTTTTCGTTTGCACCGTTTGGCACGAATGGCCTGTCTGGAAACGGCGAAACTTGGCGAAGCGCGAGTCCCGGATGCTGCATGCTGAGCAGAGCTGAGCCTCGTTGGACGTTGGATTGCAACTGACGGCGCTTTGTTTGACAGGGTTCAGACCACCGAACTGACCGCGTCTTTCCAGTTTGTTCTGCCAAGGCTTGTTTCTGTGGATGGAGCAGTGGAGGACAGGGAGTCCAATCGAAATCTGTTTTCTCAGTGTAGTTGGCCTCCGTGAGTGTGACGTGAGCAGCGTTTAGGCGTCGTTCGGTAGTGCTCGTGCAGTTGCTTGCGCCGTTTGGATTTGTGTGTAGATTCGCTACCTCCGTGTGCCGAATATGGATGCTGCAGTGCTGAAAGTCCTGTGTATGCTAGTGGGCAGTTTTGTGAGTTTGTGCAGCCAGCAGCACAGTGCATGGGCAGCTGCAGAGGCAAATCAATACGGTTCCAGTGTGCATGCCGACGGCAGTACCGCCGGTTACGGTCACGAGCAGCTGCGGCAACTGGCCAGCCATTATGAGCTAGTGGATATTGTGACGGCCCCCAGCAGTGGTGGTGCGGAGCGTGTACAACGAAGTGCCGGAAGCAGACGCAGAGCCGACCGAGAGGCAGTGTTTGAGTTCACGGCATTCGACGAGAGGATCCGTCTGAACATGTTACGCAACGACGTGCTGCTGGCACCCGGCTTCCACGTGCGGGCCTACACAGGCGACGACATCATCATGAGTCATCACGACGCGGCGCACTGCCACTACCAGGGCACGATGAGCGGGCACAGTGCGGGCGAGGGGCACGCGGTGCTGAGCACGTGCCACGGCCTGAGCGGAATGTTCAGCGTTGGCCGCGCCGGCCACTGCAAGCCAAACCATACCTACATCATCGAGCCGTTCAGCGGGGCCGGCGTGGCGACGACTCCGGGTAGCAGTGGCTCATCGCAGATGCATGCTGTGTTCCGGCTGGGCGACGCTCGCACAACTGACCAGCTTCACGCGTGCGGGATCAAGGCGGCAGCAGCGGACGGTATTCTCGACTCCGCGCACGCACAGTACAATGCCAGCCTGCCTGATGCTGACACCGACCATATGGGTGGTGCCAGTAGTCATCCCAGGGCGCGGCGGAGCGTGCTCACGGAGACGAAGTACATTGAGATTCTGCTGGTCGCCGATCACCAGCTGTACAAGCGCATGGGCAGCAGTCGAGACGCCACTGTGAATCGTGCGCTGTCCATCCTCAACCTCGTCGACTTGCTGTACCGGCCGCTGAACATCCGCGTTCCCGTCGTGTCCGTGGAGGTCTGGGAGGAGAGCAACAAGGTGTCGTTCTCCAGCAGGGAGGCGACGACCATTCTCAACACGTTCATCACGTACCACGCGTCCATTCTCGAGGACGTGCACCACGACGTCGCCTACCTGATCTCGGGCGAGGACTTCTTCGGTCTCACCCTGGGCACGGCCGTGCAGTCGGCCATGTGCCGGGGTGCTGCGTCGGCCGGTGTGGGACAGGACATGCACGCCGCCTGGGTTGCCGCGGAGACCGTGGCGCATGAGCTGGGCCACGGCATGGCCATGCAGCACGACACAGCCGCCTGCACGTGTGCGGCCGGCAAGTGGGACCACTGTGTCATGGCGCCGGCGGGGTCGTTCTCACGCCAGAGCAGCAGCTGGAGCGACTGCAGCCGGCAGCGCCTGGATCTGTTCTTCAAAAGCGGCTCCGGCCACTGCCTGCTGAACTCGCCCACGCAGCTGTACAGCAGTCCCTCGTGCGGCGATGGCTACCTGGACATTGGCGAGGAGTGCGACTGCGGCGAGGTACAGGACTGCGCCGATAAGTGCTGCAATGCCAGCACGTGCAGGCTGCAGTCCACTGCGCAGTGCAGCAGCGGGCCGTGCTGTGAGCACTGTCGCTTCAAGGCCGCCCATCACCTCTGCCGCGAAGCTACGGGAGGCTGCGATGTGGCCGACTACTGCTCGGGCACCACGCACGACTGCCCCAGCGATTTGTTCGTGCAGACCGGCCAGCCGTGCACGCACGCGTCCGGAAGCAGCTCCATCTGCCACAACGGCGTCTGCGTCGGAACCCACTTTAGCCAGTGCAAGGCATTGTGGGGAAGCAGCGCAATCAGCGCATCGCAGGAATGCTACACGTTCAATTCCCAGGGCACCATGGCGGCCAACTGCGGCCTAACGTCTGGCCTATACAATGCGTGCGCTTCGTCCGACGTCAAGTGTGGCAAACTGCAATGTTTTTACGGCAGCTCAAAGCCGCAGCTTGACCTCGATGGGCAAAGTGCAGCTGCAACCTACACAAAGCTGTCCTTCTTCTTGAAGTGCAAGTCCGCCAGCGTGTCCGGCTTTTCCGGCGGTGCCAACGACCCGACGTATGTTAGTGACTACACAACGTGCGCCACTGACTCGGTGTGCGTGAACCGGCACTGTCGCACGCTCTCCGAGCTCAAAGTCCCGCCCTGTCCCGACGGCAACAATGGTCTGGTTTGTAGCGGGAACGGCGCGTGCACGCACCTGAACTCCTGCCTGTGCGACATCGGCTATGCGGGGCACGCGTGCGACATCGAGACGCAGCGCCCCGTGCTGGGAGAGTGGGGACCGTGGTCCTCCTGGTCGGCCTGCTCCGAGTCCTGTGGCACCAACGGCACGCGATCCCGCCGCAGGGCCTGTGAATACCCGTCGCCGTCTCCTGACGGAACTCCATGCAGCGGCGCCGACCTCGAACGCGCCCAGTGCAATTCGGCGGTCGCCTGTCCGAAGCGCGTGGACGGCGCGTGGAGCCAGTGGAGTGCCTGGTCGTCGTGCAGCGAGACATGCGGCAGAGGCACCACTGACCGTACACGTTCCTGCGACAGTCCTCCTCCCTCGCACGGCGGTGTCCCGTGCAGCGGTGACTACACTGAGAAAGGCACCTGTAATGCCCCGGCGGAATGTACTCCGCCGCCGACGCAGCCGTCAACTCAACGCCCTGTCACGACCGGCTGTGTGGCCTGCTGGTCGCAGTGGTCGCAGTGGTCCCCGTGCAGCGCAATGTGCGGCGCATCGGGCGTACGCACACGTGTCCGTAACTGCCTCAGCGGCAGCGCGTCCTGCGTGGGTAGCTTCACCGCCGAGGAAGCTTGCAACCGCGTGCTCTGCCCGGTGGCAGTCAACGGCGGTTTCACACAGTGGAGTGCGTGGAGCACGGTGGGAGACTGTGAAACGTGCTCCGAGCACGGCCACCAGGTCAGACATCGCAGCTGCACGAATCCCGTCCCGAGTAACGGTGGAGTCAGCTGTGCCGGCGCGATCATCCAGCACCAGTCGTGTCCTGTCTGCAGCAACAACCAAACCAAGCCGGCTGCCGCCACGTCCGGCCCAGCTACTCCTCCAGCAGGAATAGCGCCGGCGAAGCCCGTCCCCGTGCCTTCCGGTACCGAGAAATCGAGCGAGGGGCGCGACGAGACTTCCAGCAGTACATACCAGACGGGAACCGGAAGCACCTCAGCCATACCCTCTGCTACTGTGTCCAGTACAGTGCTATCTGCAGCCAACACCTCCAGGAACAATACAAACCCGACGGATAAGAAGATCGAGAGCAGCACTAACCTGATGATGATCGCTGCCTTAGTTGGAATGATGGTACTCTTGACCGCGTTTGCACTGGCCTTCCGCTCGACGTACCGCAAGAGGATGGCAGAGAACGCCGCACTGCCGGCTGTCACCACCACCGGCGGTGCCATCTCGGCCAAGATCTCCAGAACCAGCACCGGCGGCCACCAGTATGTCGAATGCCAAGCGCCCACTGCCTCTCGCCAGCAGAGCCCCGCGCAGTCACAGTGCCAGGACATCTGTCTTGACGAGGTGCTGGAGTCCGTGCAGCGCCAGCAGCACCAGCAGCCAGGACCGCAGCGTCGACATCTGCCACAGCTCGATTCGCACACGCACAGCCGGCTGCTCACCTCCCTGCTATCCACGCTAAGCGGCTCGGTCAATTACAGCCCGGCGGGCAGCGAATCGCTGACGCCACACAACAAGCGCAAGCTCTCGGCCACGGAGAGCTGTCTGGACAACATTGGATACTGCAGTGGCGAGAACACACCGCGGAGTCGATCGCCGTCGTACGTTGATCTTGGCATCGAAGACCTACCCAGTATGTTGTTCTCGGACGCGACCACCGACAACACCGTTGTCTGCACCAGTGACCAGCCATCGGTTATTGCTTTGTAGAGCCAGCAGTGCCTACGAGCGACTCCAAGGAGGTTCATGTGATGCACGCATGTTAGAATCTCCCGTCCCCTCCCTCCGTGACCGGTTGCAGTGCCTACAAGTGGTGCCAATGAGGTGGTCCATGTGATGCGTGCATGTATGTTGTCAGAATCTCGCTTCCCCCTCCCTCCGTGATCGGTTGTGTTCATCGCCATGCAGGGACCTGCTGGCCACTCAGAGCAGAGCAACCTGGTGCTCCGGCATGCGCATGTCTGTACTCATGACAAACTAACGTGTTAAGGATTCGCTCTGCGAGGTATATGTGGCATTATTCGTCAGCAAACTGATCCTAACGCTTGCCTCCAATCATCTGATATTGCTACTTTCTGCACAGAAAGCCACTCCCTTTGTGACAAACAAACACATCCCGAACTTTCACTAGGGGTGGTGGTATGTTAGAGATTCGCTTCACCAGTATCATGGCTGAGTTGCTAGAGTCCATTCAGGACTTTTTACATCTTCTATCTTCCAATCTATTTTCTCCGTACTACAGGCACTAGTAAAGTCAAAGCATATTTTTATTAACGTTTTTAAAATAACTGGCATTCTCTGTTCTCCTGATTACCACTTTGTGTGCAAACAAACACAATCTACCCTGTTCTGTTTGCTCACTGGCAGCCATATCATTGCATGTATGAAGTCATCTGGTGATCGTGTTCACGTTTTGCAACTCACAGCGCTACAAATCTTATTTCAGATTGGTCATTTTCACCTCTGATGCATTGATGATGATGGTGGTTGTGTGTGTGTGTGTGTGTGTGCGCGTGTGTGTGTGTGGGGGGGGGGGGGCATGTGGGTGGATGTGACACGTGCCGGTCAGGGTGTTGGTGTTGCTATGTCTTACAAGCTTGTTCACTTTCATCACTTCGGCAATGGGCATGTGTGTCTACCTCTTTATTAAAGTATCTCTGTGTGTATGTGCATGTGTGTGTACGTGTCTGTGCATGTGTGTGTACGTGTGTGTGTCTGTGCATGTGTGTGTACGTGTGTCTGTGCATGTGTGTGTCTGTGCATGTGTGTGTCTGTGCATGTGTGTGTCAGTGCATGTGTGTATGTGACGTGTGTCTGTGCATGTATGTGTACGTGTGTGTGTACATGCGTGTGTGTGTGTACATGCATGTGTGTGTGTCTGTGTACACCTGCACCCTGCTTCTGCTTGTTTTCGTGTGCAGAGAATTCTCTACAAGGTGCCGCTCCGCCACGCCCTGGTCTACTCGGTCGCGCAGCACAACAGCGGCGTGTTTGCCGTCCTATTCCGCTCCAAGGCAGGCTTGTCGAGTCTGGTGCTTAAATGTGTGGAGGTAGGTGCTGGACTGAATGCTGTGATGTGTGTCAACATGTGTTAGATAACACAATGAAATTTTATTTTAGGGCCTGTGCCCTTTCCTGTTTTATTTCATCTCATAATAGTACACAATAAACCAGTTTTTACCATAATTATTACTATTATTATTATTAGGCCACCTAGAATTAATTCGTTGTTTCGGGTCACTTCACTCATCCGTACCCGGGTCGGTCGGTCGGGTTTATTTTTTATTTTTTTTATTTTGGCTACTGCCATGTATACATGTATGTGCATACGTGCATGCATGTATATCGAATAGCTTTTGTCCATCAAGCCAATCGATCAAATCATGACTGTAGACGATCCAGCGCAGTCATTGTCCCATCAGATCCAGGTCCCCTCCAGGACCAGATCTTGGCCTCACTGGCAAACGAGTCTGAGGAGCAGCTCTCATCTTGAAAACGTCTGTCAAAGAGCGACGCGGTGGCGGAGCTGATGCTGTTTCAGGACCGATTGCGGATCGGAGATAATAATAGAGACATCGTCACCAAGCGCTGCATCCTGTAATTTTATTTGGTTGCTTCTGAGGTCGATGGCTGGACTGATATTATTAGGCGCGTGTGTACATTACGTACATAGTCTACAATAGTAGTCATGTACATTTGCATGCACTTATTTTAAAAAAACATTTTGGGGTCGGGTGAAAAAGACGGTCGGCTGACCCGAAACAAGGAATTAATTCTGGGTGGCCTTATTATTATTATTATTATTTTCACTAGATTGAGGGAAAGAGACAAACGGGAAAAGTCTGAAGAAAAAATTGACTGTCACCACCAGGACTCGAACCAGGGACCCTCGCTTGTAGCTAGCTAGCGATGCTCTAACCACTGAGCTATGGTGTAGTCGTCATCCCAGCAGAGACTGTTCAACATTTTCTTCAGACTTCGTAACTCACACTGCCTGTGAATCCACACAGGCGGGTGGGACGCAGCCCTCACTGTACCCACACACTTCACGTACACTCTAGCACGCGGGGAGCTCCAAGTCATAATATCTCAATAATTATCATTATTGTTGTTTTTGAAACTCGGATGTTGAGCCATAAATAAATGTAGAAAGGAAAAAGACATTATGGATACAAGTTAAGAGTAACTCTCTATCACTGTAACATGATACTTTATACAGTCAGAAAGTGCAATAACTAGGCACAAAACTGACAGAGTACTGAGACATTCGACGTCCTGACACCTAGCTTCAACACAACGTTTTCGTTGCGCTTGCCTTCCCCTCGTTGGTCTTTTCCATAACCTTGAACCTTCCAAGTTGGAAGGCTGTCGGTTAGCGCTACGGAGATGTGTTGAAGCTAGGTGTCAGGACGTCGAATGTCTCAGTACTCTGTCAGTTTTGTGCCTAGTTATTGCACTTTCTGACTGTATAAAGTATCATGTTACAGTGATGGAGAGTTACTTTTAACTCATATCCATAATGTCTTTTTCCTTTCTACGTTGTTTTTTTTTTTTAATAATAACGAGAGAGCTTGGAAGCTCAGGGCCCTGCGCTATGCTTTGTTGCCTAGCTCATCGTGCATGTTGTTAGAACTGATGGAAATGCTTTTTTCTTTGATTAGCTACATCATTTTATTGCAAAAACGTTTCAATGAGATACTGAAGTACAAGTAACGTCTTCTGCATAGCTATGGGACCGGCGCTGACTTTGCCGATCACGAGCGTTCTGGAGTCGACGGGATGTCTGTCCTGACGTTTCCTGGGACCGGCGCTGACTCTGCCGATCACGGGCGTTCTTCTTCTTCTTATTAATATTATACTGACGGCAACTAACATCCATTCTGATTGCATTTACTCGTCTCCCTACTTCGTATTTTTTTTTCAGAAAATCTCCCCATACAGCAGGGAGTCGTTTACATAATATGACTCCCTGCTATAGATCTACATGACTGTATATACGTTATAATTATTATGCTATCGGCCTACATGCGATTCCCGGGCTGGTCGACAGGCGGCCCAGCCAGCCTGCTAGTGGGATCTCGGCCTCGCACACAAATCCACACAAAATGTTACTGCACTGAATGCATTCCCCCGATACACTTCGCATATATACTCAGGCTGCGTTTACACGACAACGAAGTAGGACCTAAACGGAACGGAATCGTTGCGTTTACTACTATCGTTTACACGACAACGCCCGAAAACGATACCTAAACGGAACGAAATGGAAACGCACTTCAAAGTGTTTTGAAACGTTTTCAAAACGTTTTCGTTCTCGTGTAAACGGTGAAAACAGTGAAAACGATTGGAAACGGAGCGCGGTCATGGAAACCATTCCGCGCGGGACTATATTTCGCGGGAAATACCTGACCTTTGCGAGTACCAGCGCGTACCAACTCCAACTAACGTGTTACTTCCCGCTCTTGCGCCAAGCCAGCACGTACTAACTCCAGCCTGCTCGCCCGTTTTCCGTTTTCGTGTGAACGGTTCAAAACGATTTGCCGTTCTCGTGTAAACAGTTTGAAAACGATTCGAGGCCAGCCCGTTTTCGTTCCGTTTCGTTTCGTTTCGTCTCCGTGTAAACGCAGCCTCATTCTCTTGATGGTACCGTACTCTTGATGGTACGGGACAGGTACGGGATAGCGCCAGGCATGTCGATGGCACAAACAAACAAAAATATTGTGGCCAGCTGTCTTTGCTGGTACGGTACAGTACGGGACAGATACGGGATAGCGCCAGGCGTGACACAAACAAACAAACAAATAAACAAACAAACAAACAAACACCAAATTAAAGCTGTGTGGACCCTGGCTAGCGCCAGACGTTACTGAAGTAACGTCTTCTGCATAGCTACGGGAATAATAACATGTTCAAGAGTGAAGCAGTTCAGTGTAAACAAGTACCCTGGACATAACACACGTTTCTCTTTGCACTGGGTATCAAGTTCAGTGTTGGTCAGTGAAATCCGATCGAGAAACTCATGTACATGCCGGACGTTACGCAGCCCTCGACCTGCGAACGCTGGGCCGCGAAACGGTTCACGGCGCAAACTTGACTCATGCGATCGGATTTCATTGAGCAGCGCTGTACTTTTTTGGACCTACGCATCCCATTTCCAGTCATTTGACCTTTCGATATAGAGTACCACAGTTATAAAGTACTGATTTGGTTGTCCCTTGGAGGTATGCTGTACTGAGTTTTTACTGTAATGCACACTCTACATGCTGGTGTTGTGCGTCTAGCTTACACACCTAGGGTACTAGGGTGAGACAAGACATGGCACAGGCAGTGCTCCACTAATACGCATGTTTTTGCATTCGTTCCGCAAACAAACACCGCCAACTCTCTCTCTCTCCCTCCCTCTCTCTCTCTCTCTCTCTCTCTCTCTCTCTCTCTCTCTCTCTCTCTCTCTCTCTCTCTCTCTCTCTCTCTCTCTCTCTCTTTATCCCTCCACATTCATCTATGCATGTGTCTGTGTACTTGTGTATGTTCCTCAATTTCTCCATTGAACTCAGGCTGACCTACTGTGCAAGCTGATGAACGAGGCACAGCTTGCGTCCACACTGCAGCAACTCGAACGAACAAAGTTACACCTACCTGCTGGCGATAGCAAACGAGACTTGTTGGAATCGGCATCATCCATGGTGGTAAGAAGTGTTCTCTCGATCAGCCGTTGCTTGTGCACGTGTGTGTGTGTGTGTGTGTGTGTGTGTGTGTGTGTGTGTGTGTGTGTGTGTGTGTGTGCATGGTGCGTGTGTGTGTGTGTGTGTGTGTGTGTGTGTGTGTGTGTGTGTGTGTGTGCATGCATATGTATGGGTGTGCGTGTGCATGCATATGTGTGGGTGTGCAAGGGGCCATGGGTGCACATTTGTGTTCAAGCTCATGCATGCACTCGTAGAGTATGGTGGCCTAGCACCCAGCTTCACATCCAAAGCTCTTTCTTGTGCTGTGCCAGATCTCAAGATCTGTCCTGTTTCTGCGCAGTTCATTTGTGCGTTGCTGCTGATTTGTGCTCTTTTCTTCCAAAATGTTCTCCTCTCGTTTTCTCTCATTGTGCTGAGTAGAGTAGCACTGGAGTGTTGTCACCTTTCTGGCCTCTTTTGGAATGGAAATAGCAGAGTGACAAGAGTGACCAACAACAAATTGTTTATTGCTGCTGCTGTTGCAGTTGCTGTTGTTTTTGTTGTCATTGTTGTCGGTTGTCATCGTTGTTGCTTGTCATCGTTGTTGCTTGTCATCGTTGTCAGTGTCTAACTTGTCTTCGTAACCATTGTTATGTATTGCTGCTGCTGGTGGTGGTGGTGTTGCTGTCGTCGTTGTTTCTGTCGTGTCATCGTTGTTGTCTTCTTCTTCTTTTTTTAACCATTGCCATGTATTCCCTTGTGTTGTTGCCAGGCCAATCTTCAGCCGGATGGATCAGAGCCTGCGGCGGCCGATCCAGCAAGAAGAGCATCGGCGTCGTTCACCACCATGAGCGCACCGAGACCGGAGCGAGTGACGACGTCGAACTCCACGGACTCGTTCCCGGGCCAGGCGGCCGGTCCGGGCAGGACGAGCAAGAGCGACGGCGCAGTGTCGTTGCAGCCCCGTGGCGTGGCGGTAGCAACCACGTTGATGCCACCATCTGCCAGCTCCCACTCCATGGGTGACATTGCCAGCGACGTCAGCATGACGTCAGAGGCGTTTGCTGCAGCCGCTCGCACTCTGCTCGACGACACGCTGAAGGAGACGGAGCAGTACACGAACATGCCGCGCAGCGCCAGCAAAGAGATGCGTGATCACGTGGACGAAATCCTGTCCGACAGTACGGTGAAACTGCTGGATGATGTCGGCCTAGCCACACCGGGAAAGCCGAGTGATTCAAAACCCCATGCCAACGGTGGCATAGCCATCTCTAACCAAGTGGTCACGTCGACGCCGCTGCAAGCTGGACGCGGCGAGGACGGAAACACGGCTGCGGATCTGAACTCGACGATCCAGGAACTTCTCCAGCTTTAATTGCGAGAGGTGTGGGTGTGAGTGGGTGTGAGTGTGGGTATGTGTGTGTGTGTAGGGGGGGGGGGGGGAGGGGGGTTGGCTCACTCAGCATACCATAGAGACTGTTGTCTGATTTAGTCCACCCTACGTTTTGCAAGGACCGACCCGAGACACAGCTGATGACCGGTGGGGTGAAATCTCATGGCTTCGTGTACAAACCGTGCATACCGGTATCTCCCGGCAAGAGAGGACATGCGTATTTTGTAACATAAATTTGTTGCGATCCAATAACCTGTGGCGCTGCTGCATTTGTGCCAGCTAGTGCAGTACTTGCACCGTAATCACTTCGAAGTATGTCGTAAAGTTATTTCCAGAATTTCTTCTTTGGTATACAGATAATATGCAATATGCGGAGGGTGCCGAATGGTGCATGCATATATCCTTTGCCCTTCTCTGTACTATTCTGTTGCTGAACTTGACTTGAACCTACATAATGATGGATTGATTCCAAATAATAATTGTTTCTGCCAGCTTGAGCTAGTGTCATGATGTCGACAGTTAGTTGTCCTGATGTCACAACATATTCTGTTATTTTTGCTTCGGAGTAGGTGTAGTGGGGCGTGTGTACATGTCAACTTCGTGCGGTGGTGCACATAAGCCGTGCAATAATTTTGACTCCTTGTCTTCCTTTCCATTGAATGATTTCACCGATTAACGCCGTGCGTGCACAATGGCTGCATGTTGAGTTTTTTCTTCACGACTGTGAATGCTGCCAGATCCGCCTACGAGAGGCCTTAGAGTATACTAATAATAGTATTGCACTGGACTCGGAACACACAGCCCCTTGACGCTTCATGCCATTGCTCTTCTTGCCGCTTGTGGAGATTGCCACCCCTATAGTGTGGCATGTGTAGTAGTGACAATGTACTGTAAAGCGTGACATTTTCGCGGCGTTTTTAGTTCGCATTTTCAGAATCCGGACAGGTTTGCGAGGTTTTAATTTTGCGATTGCAGAATGGCATTCTTGCTAAACCTTTCATGGATCTCCTTTTCGTGCTGTCTAAATTTCGCGATTTTCACGCGGTCGCGAATTTCGCAGAAATTAGACCATGGCAATAATTTCACGGTTTACAGTAGTCACATGACTCATTTCTGAGGTTTTTTTGTCTGGCTGGAGTGTAATCGTCGTGGATTTGCAACAGGGAGTCGTAAAATACCGGTATTTTACGACTCCCTGATTTGCAACTATTCTTTTATAGGCACATGATGTACATTGACCCGGTACATGGCATGTGAAATCCAACCAGAGAAATGAAGCAGATCGGTGTGTCCTGCATGGGGTGTCATTGGTACACTGCTATGGCTGTGCAAGCCAACCCTGGGCAGTTCTAGACTAGTTATCTTGCATCGGTGATGAGCCGTTGGGTTCCAATTGGCCACCACCACCTGCCACTGGGCACGTGCCGTGACCTTGGCCCATAACCAGGAAATATTTTACGACTCCCTGCTCACAACGGTTGTCTGCAGAGTTGAAGAATAATATGTTTGAAATGCCAGAATAATAGTAATGTTAAAATCACTTGCTCTTACAAGTGGCAGGCTCACACAACTAGTAGACAGCATCTTTTGTGGAGAATAAGAAAAAGTGTAGGAGTTGCAGTATTCGATAGAAAGTAATTTTTCACAGTTAATTTATTTGTAGAGCTTGTGTGGATATAGTCATTATAGATTCCTAGGTTCAAACCCCAAGATGGGCAGTTAGTTACATGTTTTCATTCGCATGCTCGTTAATTAATTTTAAAAAATGGCGTTGAGATTCGAAAAAAAGTCCGTTTTAAAACAACAGAAAAGCAGCCCAAAGTGAGAGTAAAAAATCGGTATACGGCTCAAGAATAGTTCAACTTCACGGCGGATGTGTCCTTGGACACTGTCATACAGGGTGACACAGTTCTATGTGTTTCAACTTTCAAGGCACACTGGCAGTCAGCAGTGGACACATGGCATCGTCATGTGACCACGGCTGTAGTTCACATGAATAAGACTGCATGTGCAAAGAGTACATTTCTGCAGGTCCTACGGTATGCAAAGAGGTCATCATCGGAGGGGTTCAAGGCAAAAAAGGCATACGATGACATCATCAGCACAGCCAATATTATTTATCACGTCTCGAGAGAAATGCAATGCACATCTGCGTTGCTCAAGGTTAAATTGCACTGACTACAACAGCATACCCTCACAGGACTTGCAGCTTTCATCCGTGTCCGCTATCCCCTGGGTTGGGTCGAACGGAATCGCCGGACGCCTCGTCACCAATCTGGTGTTGTGATGCAACTGAGTTGATTGTGGAGGACGACTCGTAGCCCCGCGAGGAGTTTGTGTTTCTTTCCCGAACGGCGTCATGGTTTATGAACGTGGAATAGGACCGGTTGCCGTGTCCAGTGTCGTCGTCATCGTCTTCTTCGTTATCGCTGACCGGCTGCAAGAGCGGTTGCTTCGGCGCCTCGTAGTACGGTTGCTGCCGTGGCTGCTGGTGACGTTGTGTTGGTCCCGAGCGACTCCTGCTCGTGCCCGTGGACGAGGCCGTCCAGAGGATCGAGGCGGCGTTGCTATCGTAGGACGTCTCCAGTTGCCGCGGTGGCTGCGGATTCAGCGCGACCAGGGCGGACGCCATGGCCTGCTCGATGTAGCGGAACTTGGGGAAGCGGCGCTTGACCAGGCCTCGCTTGCTGAGCCCGTGCAGCACGGTCAGCGAGACCCATGTGACGATGAACACCAGCAGGTAGAGAAGAGGAATGGACATGAGGGTGATGACGACGTAGGCCGCCCACTCGGTGGTCTCGCCGGAGTCGGAGCGAATGCCATAGAAGAAGTTCACCTGTACGGTGGCTGCGAGCGTGGCCAGAACGACCGTGTCTACCCAGTTCAGCCAGATGAAGCGGCCGCCGTACGGCTGCGCGCACATGTGAATCACCAGCACCAGCAGGCAGAGCAGCTGCAGCACGGCCTGGCGGATGTTCAGCGGGATAATCTCGGTGGTGGTCAACGCCAGGAAGACCAGGCGCGCCATGAAGTAGAAGCCGGCGAAGCTGCGGCGGTTGGGCGCGTACGGCTCCTGCACGATGTCCAGCAGCGGCTTAAAGCGCGTCAGGCTGTAGCGGCGCTGCAGACGCGGTCCGCACAGCAAGAACAACGGCAGCGGTATAGCCACCAGGATGATTATCAGCACGGCAAGCACTCCCCACGGCGCATGCTCCCTGCCCCAGAACTTCACGTTGGCGTCGCGGTACAGCCACGGCCCGCTGTCGCCGATGTCTACGAACATGAGCAGCTGAAAGCTGTTGCCCACCAGCGACACGTAGAATACGGCCAGCAGCGAGCAGAGCGTCTTCAGCACGGACGGCTCCTGATCCTTGCGGTAGCCGCAGAGCAGGAGGCGCTTCATGCGCGGGTATCGGCACACCACGGCCACGGCCAGCACTATCAGCAGTATGTACGTGGGCACGGCGTAGGAGATGGCCAGCTTCTCCAGGTCGCCGAGACCGCCTATGAAGCAGGTGGCCCAGGGCAGCGAGGCGTTCACCAGGTTCATGATGTAGTTGAACGGCGGGATGGTGTTGAAGTGGTACGACGCATTGTCCGACATGATGTAGGGTAGCACCTGGAAGTAGAACCATGGGCTGTTGACGTGGCCGGAGAGAATGTTGAAGTCCGTCCAGATCATGAACACGGTGATGAAGATGCCGATGATGGAGAACGAGCCCCACACGATATAGGCATTCTCGCTGGTGCAGTTGCGGCACTCGTTGCTCCCGAGCAGCACGCTCAGTCCCTCGCGGCAGCTGCCACACAGACGCCCGACGCGGCCATTCATACACTGCGCGTTCATGTAGAAGCCGTACTTGTCCTCGGTGTCTTCCGTTGCGTTGTTGATCAGCGCACACTCGCTGTACGCTGCATTGCTGCTCGAATCGCAGTGGCAGTAGTCAAACGGGCATGGCAGCGTGACAAACGTTCTCGTGTTCCAGCTGTGCTGCAGGTCCTTGCTGTCGCCGGGCGAATGCGGTTGGTTGTTGATGAAGCCTCCCCAGTAGCCGTTCTGCAGGTAGCAGCCGTAGTTGGAGTCGTCGCATCTCGACACGGCGGTGTGCGACACCTGCTTGGTGTCCGTGACGCACACACACTTGCCCTTGGCCGGCGAGTACCAGTAGCACGGGTGGCACTGCGTTGTCTCCACCGTCATCACGCTGTCGACGGGAATGGCCGAGAGCGTCCGCAGCCGCAGCGTGCGGTTCTGCAGCGGCTCGCCCACCAGCCAGATGCTGCTCATGCTGTCGTCGGTGATCGTACGGTAGGAGTCCTCGCCAACGGTCACGTTGTCCTCGTTGTGCGCGCTCGCGTCGACCGTTATGTAGACGACCGTGTCCGACAACTGGTCAAGATCATCTCGGGCTCGTACGTTTATTGCCTTGTGCTCGCCTGGCGCCATCTGGACGCGTCCCGCGGGCGGAACGAGCCGATTGGCGCTGGTCGCAATCTCGTACCCGGCGCGGTTCTTCGGGTAGTAGTGGAAGTTGGTCCAGTTCATGACCTTCTTCATCTGCTCGGGTCTGGGGTAGAGGCCCTCGATGTCGCCGCCCCACAGGCAGTGGAAGAGCGTGGTGGCGTAGATGGAGTGGCCGGCGGCGTGCGCCGCGTTGCTAGAGAAAGTCACCGTGGCGTTCCACTGGTCCGGCGAGGCCATCGGGTCCGCGTACTGCAGGAAGCAGTTGCGCGACGACAGCACCGAGTGCGCGCTGTTCGTCTGGCAGTAGACGGCGCCGCCGTACATGTGCGCCATGTTGCGCAGGAACGCCACCGACGTGTCGCTGTTCAGCGTGATCCAGGAGAAGCCGGTGAGCATTACGGCACCGCCAGTGTCCCCGGTGTTGTTGTGGAACGTGATCGAGCCTCTCATGTTCACCGACGACGTGTCCAGCACCAGAGCCGAGCCGTTGTTGCCGCAGAGCGACGAGTCCACCAGCGTCAACGCCAGCATGTCGACTAGGATAGTGCCGCGGCCGATGATCAGGCTCGTCCGCACCACGTTGTCGCGGAACGTGCACGCCGCGAACACGGGCTCCACCACCGCGCCCAGCGTTACGTAGTGCCAGCGGCTTAGCGCCACTGCCGCCGCGTTCTGCGCCACGTTCTTCCACCAGCTGCAGCCGTTGAAGCGAAGCTGGTTCGTTGCCAGGCGACGGGGCTCGGTGGCCGTATACGCCGATAGACCGCCGCCCCAGCTGCCTTCATTGCTCACAATGTCAACGCCGGTGAACTGAATGCTGTTAAACTCCTGGGTGATGTTCTCGTCGAGGAAGATGAAACCAATGCGAACGCCTCCGCCCGCCTCGTGACCAATATTGCCCTCAATGCGACAGCTCTGAATTGTGATGTTGGTGTGCGATACGCCGTCCTGCAGCTCCATGAACAGGCCGCCGCCCCAGGCTCCCTCGTTGCCGAAGAAATTACAGCTGTCGACGAGGATGTCAGACTTGTGAACGAAGCCTTTGAAGAACATGGACAAGCCTCCTCCGCGGCCGAAAGCCTGATGGAAATGCCCGCCTGGTCGGATGAACGTAAACTTGAGGATGTTGTAGGACAACCCCCGGTTTTCTTGAAAGGTGTTGTTGTAGATGAGGTACCTGGGACGTGGCTGCTGCTGAATCCAAGCACCGTGTTGCTCGTGCTCGCACAGCGGATAGAACGTGCTGTTGGTGATATCGCTGGCGTTGAACAGGATCGGCAGTTTGCAGAACGCAAACTCCACGAGCAGCCCGCCGCCTCCGAACGTGGTGTTGGTGACATTGTCGGCGTAGTTCAGGTACTGCAGCATGTCGGTGGCGTTGTTGTGCCGGAACGTGCAGGACTCGACGTGCACGTGCCCGCTCACGTCCACCAGGAATGCGCCGGCGCCTCGGCTGAGCTCGATCGTCGTGCCGTACAAGGTGACGTTCTGGCAGCGCGCAAACACCAGCGCCGACATGATGGGCAGCTGGCCGGTCATGTTCGACCAGCTCGTGCTCCAGTGCACTGCGCCGCAGCGGTGGATGGTCACGTTGGCGAACACGATGCCGACCGAGTTCAGAAACGCCAGCCCCGTGCCGCTCAGCCCCTCGTTCTCGCAGCTCAGCGTCGTTTCCGAGCGCACGCAGTTGCCGTAGCCGTCGACCTTCTGGCACTTGCCCTCTATCATCACGTTGTGTAAGTCCTGTAGCCAGAACGCTGCGGGGGCGCGCTCCGGTCCAGGCAGCCCGTACTCACCCGTTTCCATCTTGATCCACGTCGAATTCTCGATGTTGTAGAGCGCGTCAATGAATTCGTCCGTGCTCCCCACCTGTACGATATGTTCGAACGTCACGTTTTTATACACATCACTTGTCCACGTCGCTACGTCTACTAGCTCGTCCTGCGTCCTGCTCTTCAAGCTGGACCGCTCTCGGCTACCCGGGGGTCGGATCTCGTCCGAATCGACGGAACAAAGCGGCACCACATCCTCGTTAAAGGCAAACACTACACTGTTCAGCCCAGCCAATGCAGTCAACACCACCAACAAGACGCTAGCGGCGCACCGAGATCTTCGCCGAGACTTGCAAATGATCATGCTTGCCGCTGTCAGAGGAGCACAGACTCACTGTGTAGTATTGACGGAGCGACGAACTGTTTTCTTCGGGCCGGCCTACTGCCGAAAGAAGAAACCGTCATTGATTTGTTCAGACCCGAGCCTTTGCGCATGCACTATTCACGGATGGGAGAGATGTCGTGGACTTTGCCCTACCGGAGTCCCCTTCACCACCAATCGCGGTCGCAATGCTAGAATGGGAAGTAATTAGTTGGTGCAACGGCACGGCAACCGGCAGACTTGGAAACCACCAAGAATTGCGACTGAAACAATTCTGTCACTGCCAAAGATGGAAAATCCTGGACAAAGCCAAACTACAAAGGCAATATTCTTCCACCAGTCCGGCAAAAGATCGTCAATTCCGCCTGGGCTGTGGACGTGTAGTCTGTGGCACTGCCGAGTGCTGTTATGTACTTGTTACTAATGTTAGTCTGTGGAGGGCATTGCCATTGGTAGATCTTCCGCGACTCCCGATCCCTGGACTGTAGAGTCTACACAGGTGGACCGCGTAGACCATGGTAGACTGACAGGTCACGTCGTCAGTGCATTGCTGTTGTGAAGTAAGGACTACTGTATGTGTCTAAGAGTAAAGACTAATATTGACTGAGTAGGAGGTTACCGTATATTCTCTATTATAAGCGCCGTGCTTATATTTTTTCAACACCCCTCTACCCCGCGCTTATATTGGAGACCGCGCCTATATTGGAGACTGCGCTTATATTTTTTCAACCAATACATCCATACAGAGCAAGAAGAAATACATGCTGGATATCATGCATGCAGCATTGATTTCCACCAATACCGTGCTAATAATAGAGACTGTGCTCATAATGTTTCGAAAGGTGCTCACAGTGTGCTAGTATTAGAGACTGTGCTAGTAATGGAGACCTGGGCTTATAATAGAGAATATACAGTATATGAAATAAAAGCCGATAAAAGACCGAGGCGAAGCCGAGGTCTTTTACATGTACGAGGTCTTTTATTCCTATACTGACCAAGCACGAAGTCAATATTAGATTTACTTAGTATCACGACTAACCAAAGCATGTGTTCAATCCCTAAAAAGGAGTCAAATATAAGCCCTAAGGAGTCAATATGCAGGAATATTTGACTGCTTATGTGTAGCAAAAGTCTGTGGGAGTCAATACTAAGGGAGTGATAATTGTATAATACTAGTAGACTATACAATTTTCGATCCGTGACGAAATCTTTCGTTAGACCACTCCACCACTGCACCAGCAGGCTTGTTACGTAGATCTACTAAATTTCGTTTTTGGTCGAGGTCTGTCGCCCCGAAAGTTCAGAAAAAAGCTTTAGTTTGGTACAAACTTTAGTTATTTCGTGCCCCCTAACGAATATAGCGAAATTTGTACTTATACAGTAGGTCAACATCTACCATTAGCACTGCATTGGGTAGGTCTACCACTGACTGTAGCAACTCAGGTAACTCATGGGATTGCGCGCATAACTAAGTTACTTTGATCACACGCAATGCATGTTGCATTGTACATGTACGTCACTTGTCAACCACCGAATGCCGCCGGGATGTGAAACGACCAGTACAGTCAGTGGCAGTGCTACAGCATCCACCGTCCGTGCAAGACACAATGTAGGGTGTCATTCGACTATTAATAGGCACTTCAGGCGATTTTTTCAAAACGAGAAATACGCGTATTTCTTTTTTGTATCTGATTCAGATAGGTTTAGGAAGACTCCACAGAAAATTTGAAGCAAAAAGAATAACTTAGCACAGAGATATAGCCACCCAAAGTCGGAGAATTGAATAACGGCATTTTCAGTATTTCGACGGCACCAGCAGCATATCAGAAATTGGCAGAACTTGCTTCAGTGTCTATAGTGGCAAAATACCAGGCTCGCTGGAAGCAGGTCAAAATAACCAGATGAATGCAGAAACAGCATGGTTTGGAAAAACTTCGGATTTTTCATCCGTCCGGCAGCTCCGACGAAGATATCGGGTATGGTCACCATGGCAACTCCATAGCAACAGCATAGCAACTCCATCGCAACAGCATGAAAACAGTGCAGAGAAGCCTTCGGAAAAGCATAAGATGAGACTTTGAGGTAAGATAAAGTAACTACAATAATTCAGTGCCAGAAAACATTGTTGCTACATGTACAGTACTGACTTGGTGATGAGTACGGAAGAACAATGAGCCGAAGACTGAGCAAACTAGAATTTACCGGGTATTTGACGGAAAGAAATGACAAACTATTACAATAGAACATCGTCTGCAAATTTTTGGGACTACTGAAACTTCAGCAACTCCAGCATGAGAGATTTTGTGCATAGAGTGTGTGCTGGATTCTTGGTATAATATCACCGTCAATGCTTTTCTTGGTCGCTGGAAGCCACCTGCTGATCAGCTGACGATTTGTTCCGAGCAGGCCGTTTTGATGTCAGCTCTCTTGGTCCAGTCGCCGAAGTATATACTGTCCTACTCGTCGCCTGCAGGAGAGGACGACTGCTCCGATGCGACTCCAATAACACCTGGCAATATTTCTTCTTGCGCAGCCATGCGCATGGGCTCCGACGAACAAGGATTATTGCCGGGAGGACGCCTGTCGCGGTTCGCTTCCAATAACACCTCGCATTATTTCTCCTTGCGCAGCAATGCGCAAAGTGTCGGACGAACGAGGACAACTGATCCCGAAAGGAAATACGACGCTGAAGACGATGAGCTACATGGCAAATGCGTGCAACCAAGTGAAATGCCCGAAAAATCCTTGCCGATTTTACTCGAACTGTACGTGAGTTCAAAAAATTGCCGCATCATGACGTATGTGGGCTCAAACGAAAGCTGAGGGCCTCAGCTACATGCTGCGCCACACGAGAAGGCCCTGCGCAGCTTCCGTGCAGCTACAGATCGATCTATGCATGCGCCTTTCCTTGGTGCCACGCATGTACGCGATTCAGCGTTAGCACTTTTTGACAGGTCATGTCACGTGACTGAAGTGCCTACTATTAATTTTTTCATGCACTGCAATCCATCATTGTAGTTGTACTACTGAGCACGGAGCTTCTAAATTAATGCTCTCAGTTTTGAGCGAAGGACAAACTACCTACTGCCAAGAGCGACTCATGAACGAACTGTCTTCAGTGATTGGCTATCAGAGCACAGGGTTGGCCCGGGTGTCCTTGACAACGGGCTTTATTGCTACCGTCAGTGTCGAGTTGCATCAAGCACTCTCTCGAGCTGCCACAACTCACTGAATCTGAGTGGGAAAACTGAAACCAGATACCGGTATATATTATACATGTACATGTTACAATAAATATTTGATCACTTTGAAGGGGATGGAAACGGGAAAAAGGAAATAAATACGATAAATTAAGCAAGCCACACCATATTGCCAGGACAGAAAGACGATAAATAATTCATTTGGGCCCGGAAAATGTCTTTAAACATCTGCAGCAGGCCAGCAAATATCAATATCTAAATACCAAAAAGTCAACACCAAAAGCCATATACATACTTGAAAAAGGAATATCATTCAATGGAAAGTTGTTCTGCAGAGAGATTGACAATTAACTGGTAATAGATGACCATTATTTCGAACACACTCAGTCTAACCCATACACGGGTAGATTACACGCACGCACCCACCCACACACAAACATACCTATAATATACATGTATAAGGGTCCTGTAGATGTCGGGAGCAGTAGCATAATTCTATATCCCCGCCACTGCTAGCGGAAGCAGTTTACATGTTCAATTCCATTGGATACGCTGACCATGTCTGGCACCTGTTCAGGCGGTGAAACGAGGGTGCACATACGTCGGCAGATGAAGCGTTGGACGATGCAGGCAGCACAGAGGTGCCACGTAGGCATTAATGGTCACGGGCAGCTTGGGCCACGCATGGGCAGAGTACGGGCCATCGATCGGCTGGAACTTCCACGCCGATTGCAGATCATCATGTTGGAAGAATACTGTCTGTATTCTAGTAGGTACTAGTATTCCCGTTAGGATTGCAAACACCAGTGGCAGGAGCATTCCCGAGTGGAACAGGAACTTTAACAAACTAATCAGTACACGGGCTTGAAGTGTCTTGATCCGGTCCAAACGGCGGCGATGACGCACACTCAGGGCTTTGACTTTGCTTGCTGCCAGAGAAGAAAGCAACGGCACGTACACACTGCAACACTGCCAGCACGCGTCGGAGCAGCAGGTCAAAGACACCAGGGCAATGCGAATGCTGGGTTGAAGCAGCCAAGTCAAGACGTTGAGTAGTACTAGACAAGTTGACACGATTGAGGCGACACGGCGACGGAAACACACACTCTCGGCTTCTTCATTGCAACGTCGTGCAGAAGAAAGGTGCGGTGCGGCTGTGCCATCTCGGGAACAATGATAGGAGTTTGTTAAGGAGGGTGGCACCATTGCTGGGCCTACCTCACCGCTCCTTATGCCGCAGTAGAGGGTGACTGTTGCTTGCAACCCATCTCGAGCTGGTTTCGCTGTCGCCGTCGTTGTTCTCGGCAGAACCAATTCATGGCCTGGCAGAACCGTCCTAGTTGTAGAGGAGAGATAGATCAAAGGAGAAGAACCAGCAGGAATCAACAAAAGTGTTCTACTATGCACTGTGTAAGGTGGAATCCGACGCAAAGTCCAAAGCTGGCCACCTGGATCACATCAATGTGCCTGTGCATGTGCGCGGCAAGCAGTATTCCTAGCACTTTCAGGGCGCCAAGGGCTGTACTGACTACTGACTGTGTGGAAGTTTGGCTAGTATGCACTAACTTACTTTCCGTCGGATTTCACCTACGTGTACATGTACACAGTCCATGGTATAATGTAGAACACTGTTATTACAGGTATTGCACAATGACGCACTAGTACCAACAGTATATATACTCAGTTGTTGTGTGTGTATACTCAGTTATATTATACTCCTGCATGTACCAGTCCAATGAGCATGCCATGTACACAGTGTCTGCTCTAGGATTTCAAACCAACCGGGTACAAGTGTACCTCGGCACAACTCTTCCAACCGGGTCAGAGCCGGGGTACGTTCAAGCGCCGCTAGCCCACTGTGACTGCATGTGCATCAGGGAGCCGTAACTATTTTAGGACACCCTGATGTACGATGTATGTGTAGCATATGTATTCCCAACCGGCTCACGAGTGACCCGGTATTCTTTTGCCAAACGGGTCCAAGTACTTATTACCCCCCCCCCCAACCGGGTCGCTGACCCGGCTCTGGAACAGAGTAAGAGTGAGAATTCATACAGTACAGGGTTTATCGCTCAAAATGATTTTAATTTTTCTACGCTGGGTAGTCGCCAATATGGTCCCAGCAAGACACAGAAAAGGAAGGTGGTCGCCCCTAGGCCCTAACGTAACAGCTCGCGCTTCTTGATCTTGCCGACAGAAAATAGCTCCAAAGCGGTTCGCAAACACGTGCGGGGTCGCGTAGTCCCGGTGCCAGACCGGACGAGTTGCTGATTGGAGGATTTTACCGTTCACGCTATTTTCGGCGGTAGGCCTGCACCGTTTTTTGTGTGTGTAGACATGGCATTATTTTTACAGTTTACGCGCTAGATCCAACGGTACTCGTAGATCTACCCCAAACCCCAACTACCGTCGGTTTGGTACCGTTTCGACGATAGAAAGCTCTTTTTAGCGGGAGAACGAAACGGTTCCAACTACTAGAACTAGGGTTACCTCACACGTCTATCGTTGCGTCAGGAGTCAGGACTCAGAAGCCGAACTGCTAACCGGGCCGTGTCTCGAAAACACATCAAAAACAGTAGACTCGCCCTCTGCCCTCTACCGTCGAAAATAGCGTGAACGGTAAAATGATAACCAGGCCAAACTAAAGAAGGTGTGTGGTTCGACTCACCCGACCGACCGTACAATTTCAGCCCGACCGTAACTTTTTTTCGGCGGGCTGTCGTGTGACTGACGTACGTGGACTGAACACGTCCACGTCTACGTGCTGTGCGGCGTGAGTCTGCGGACGCAGGCGGCTCCTTTTGGACTTGACTTGTAGTTGTACTGCAGTGCAGTGCAGTGAGTGGTACGACTGCTGCCTTGTGCTGGTAGTAGAGTCTACTCGATACGCGTATACAGTGTATTTACATGTACTAAAAAATATACAAATAATCTACGTGGAGATAAAAGTTTAATAATAGCAATGAAAAGTATGAATGCCGCAGACATCACCACGCAACATGACAATTTGTTCAAGGTTTGGTTTTGTGTGTTTCCAAAATCGATTTTCACGTTCCGATCATCAGTGGAAATACGGAACTAAAGAGATCAAGGGAAAAACAAAGGTTAAAAATCCAAAGAAGTGTGACACATGACGGGTAACTTGTGGTAAGTTTTACAAAAAGTGAGAACTAAAATAAAGAGTAAGTGTGACAAACGGGCATGAACAGTGCAGAAACAACTCATGAACACCCTTTCCCTTGATCTCTTTAGTTCCGTATTTCCACTGATGATCGGAACGTGAAAATCGATTTTGGAAACACACAAAACCAAACCTTGAACAAATTGTCATGTTGCGTGGTGATGTCTGCGGCATTCATACTTTTCATTGCTATTACTAAAAAATATATTAAAAAAAAAAAAATCCGCCCGCCCGCCCGTAAAAAAAATGTCCATGTTAGTCGAACCACACACCTTCTTTAGTTTGGCCCCATGTCAATTATTACCGAGCAACGGTACATGTACAGGTACACTAGGTAGAGTACCAGTTACAGTAGTGACGTTTCTACAACAGACAGTTCGCTAACACTAAAATAGAGGAGACTCTCCGAGACTGCACTCGAAACGGAAAATACAGTAAGTGGTAGTAGCTAGCAAAGCTGAGTGCGAAAGAAATCGACTCACCGTGCCATTCTTGGCGGAAATCGCGAACGGAAGCGCCACACGGTACTCGGTAGGTACCGGTGGCTTAGTTTTGCCTAGCCCAGCTGGCTAGCGTGTACTACCGTCTACGGACTGTCGGTACCCTTCTCACTCTTCGTGCCGAGTTGGTGTGGCAGGGCAACATACAGACCTGGCTGTGAACAAATCTAATTCTAATCTAAAGACGGGACTTGGGTGTCCGGAGCTGTTGGTAACGGGCAGCGGAATAGTTTAGGAACGGTCGAAGTCACTCGTCAACCAGCTTACAACCTTGTACCTGAACCAATCAGCTGCCACTGGAGCGCCACCGGCGAAATATGTAGGCGTTCTTCACAAGGGACTTTCTTCGTTGGAAATGGTGATCTACACATTTGTTCATACTTCTCGCTTACTATTTCCTGACTGACCCAAAAACAGTTTACTCTCCGGCTGCAACGAGAAGGAAGCATCTATTTAGACTAAAGAGTGAAGAGCAAGAAGAAGAATGAACTCCTTTTCCGAAACCACCTCCGTTTTATGTGTGGGAGACGTCGGTACTAGTAGTAGTACTAGTAATAGTAGATCTACTCGATCGTCCTCACCAATGTACCAGGCCAGTACACGGCGGTAGTCACCACGGACTGTAGTGTAGGGACTACTTGCGGTTGCAGGCTCGCAGTCACGCGCACCCTGCACTGCTGCCACCTAGTACCTAGCTGCCGGCAGTGTCGATTCCACTGGCGTGTGCGGTGTAGCAAACTACAGGACCGGTACAACTTTCCTTGGCGTGGGATGTGTGTGTATGTGTGTGTGGGTGGTTACCAACAGCCAGTGCATGCATGCCGGAGTATGTAGCAAACTACCGACCAAGAATGTCCCCTGACTCTGATGCACGGGCCAATGATCGAGTTGCCTGTCCTGTAGCTTGACATTTTTTTGTCATGTGATTTTGACATCTGCCAACACATCAGCATCACGACACTAGCAAGCGCGATGTATTAGTATCCTATTCTCTTACTATGTGCTTCCATAGCTTTTACTATGTTCTTCCATAGCCACTTCTAGGCTAAGCCTTCGCCGTCATTTTATTGGGTCGTCATCCCGTTTGAATGTGCGAAGTGAAATAAAAACCAACCAACCAACCAACCATGTGCGCTCGGTCCATCTTGCACAACTGTCATGCACACCGCAGATATGTATAATGTAGGGTCAACCTTGCGAATACAATCAAGTACTTGTACTCCTCTTTGCTCTGTTTTATTTTCTCTTTTCGTTCGTCCCTCTTGATATTTGTACTTTGTACTGTTGAGGCAACGAACTGAAATAATAAAAAACAAACAAACAAACAAACTAAAAAAAAAACACAAAGTTTTTGGTACAGTCAGCAAAATGTGAGAACAGCATGCAGCGGACAATGAACTCAACGGATTCAATAAAGTAAACCAGTTAATAACGGACTAGCGGTGATCAGAGATGCGACGGGCAGTATGATGGACTAGCGGTGATCAGAGATGCGACGTGCAGTATGATGGACTAGCGGTGATCAGAGATGCGACGGGCAGTATGAAGGACTAGCGGTGATCA